GCCGAGAATCGAACCACGGACCTCCGGAATACCGACACAGTGTGCAGAACCACTACACCACGAAGGCACACTTATAAAGTGGGAGAGATACCTTATAAGATGATTACTAATAAAGCTAAAAATATTTTTAAATGGTTTAGCAGGAGTAGACTGGGAGACTAAGAACTCAGTGAGAGCGTAGGAAACCTAAACAAACGCTTTGGGGCCACCGTTAAAATCTGAAATCTTTCAGAATTTTTTAATATTTTCTAATTCAGTTATGGTTTCTGTCGTATGAGGGAACAAGTTTGTAATATCGTTTAGAGGCTGAATCCTGTCGTATAAGTGATATGTGTATTTTTTTTTTTTTTTTTTTTTCTTTTCTTTTCAAATTTCCAGCATGATTCAAATTTTTAGTTTTCTACACCCGAAACGTTAAGAGGGAGGGTGGAATTCATACTGTTCTAGAAACTGATGACTTAGGCTTATAAACTATGATGGGTTTTATTAAATAAGGCAAGCTATGAGACTTTCCAATAACAATCTCTTCGTAACTTTCTCGAGTAAGTATGTAAATAAAGCAGGTTTTGCAGTCACCCACCCGCAGTGCCCTACAAGGCTTATAAAGTGACTTGCTTCTGCAGCCTTTGCAGCTTCAGATTGACAAAACAAAGTATGTGTTATCGGTAAAGTATGAAATCCGGCATTTTAACCTAGGATGCTTGCATGTTCAGTGTTGAGCCAAAAGCTCTCGTCGGACTGCGCATTTGGGCGATCTAGCGGTAACCAGTTAGTAAGACGACGAAAGGTGTCTGCTGCTAATATTAACTTTTATTCTGATGGACATTGTACTAAAATGTACTTTATATACCTCATATTATATATGTATTTTTTCTATCTCATGATGATGATGCACTTTATGTAGCTTGATCTTGTACTCAATAGTGCCAAATAATAGGCATTTGGAGACCCAGAATATCTTTATGCCTCAGACATTGCATCTTACTTCTGAGTAACAGATAAAAGGTGAATTGATGAAAGTAATTTCTATAATGTGGCTGTCACATCATTTACTGCTTTCCTAGGTGCATCGAAGATATTGTTCACAGAATCTAGTCGTGCCAACAGGGGAGTGCTGCCTGCGACGCGTAGCCTCTTTGACTCTCGACAAAGCGACGATCGAGAAACATGTAGACAGACCGAAGTTTCTGCCGCAGGAGCTGGATTTCAGCCTCTACGAGAAATTTCAAGGTAATCAACTCTTATTATCATGCTTTGGAGTTCAATTTATTTGTGCGTAAGTTTCCTAGCGGAAAACATTTTCTAACTTGCTGATTGGTTATTATCTTAATACATCTCTCGTGTGCTGGGAATGAAATCAAAATACGACATGTAGTCCAAATAAAACTTGCGCAAACATTGCATTTTTGTTTCAGATGATATTTTAAGGTTTTAAAAGTTGCTTTGGTGCTTGCTCTTCATTTATACGAAAAGATAAAAATAAAAAAGATAAACCGGTATATCAAACATCATATTATAACATACTGGAAGAAAACAGTACGTTTACGTCAGTGTACACGAATTTTAGTTGATCCTTGTTTCTTAAAAACAAAATATTTGAAATTTGCCTCAATATTAAGAACCAGTCTTGGCAAAAGTTTAACATTTGTCGATAACTAAATCGGAAGAAACTTGGACTCCTTTTTCAGTCTGAAATTACTGAGTTATCCTGCACAACGAGGTTTATAACTTTCCTATGCCATCTTCTTCATTCCTTCGAATGTAGTGTTTATTACATGTACAGCTTGATTAGCCACTTCTACGGATATTGCATCAAATAAACGCACCGTAAGTGATTTAAGATTTAATATTTAAATAATAGCATTAAAAAGCAAAGCTTGTATTTTTTTCTTTATAAGATAAAACAGGCCAAACAATATTCCCTAGATATATAGAGACATGAAATTGATATTTTCCAGGGACAAAACGTACTTTCGTAATCAGCTTATTTGGATTGTAGTATAAATTTTCTAAATATTAGTAATATATTTCTTAGATTAATTGTTTCAACAAACAAAAAATAGAATGGAATGAGATATTTTAAAAGCATTTTGTTGGAAACATTACTTTGAAAACAATAATTTAGTGCAGGAGCACGTGCTATTTACGCTGAACAACAGACTACTGTCTCCTTACACTATCTATCCAGATTAATAAAGCCTTATTTAGACCAACGGGCCGTTCTGGTGTCAAAGTACACTTGTCGTCTGGTGGAACTGACATCACAAACTCTGCCAACGGTTGTCGCAATTTATGCCAGTACCTAAGGCATATTTATGGTACAGCATTTATATTCAATAATTACATAGCTGTTATATGATTCTGATTTGATTGCAATCTTGGTCAAATTGAATATTTTTTGCCTACAGCTGCATAGAAATCACTAAATATTTTACAGTTCTGAATGTAGATTACATAGACAACAATTCATATAATCTGTGCACATGTACACTGCGAGAAAAAGGGACAGTTCTATATCTCCCGTTCTATTGGGTCGATTGACGAAATTCAAATTGCGTTTTTCATGTCTCGAAAGCGCGACTTAAGATATACCTTAGATTTATGAATAGCATTATTCTAATGTAGGTATTTTGACACAAATCGGACCTTTTTCTGAAATGGCATGCGAATTTTGTTTCCATATTTCGATTTTACGACTCAAATTATAGGTAAATATTAAATTTTTAAAATTTGGTGCGAAATCTACGGAGAAATTCAAAAATTTATCTTGGCGCATTTTTTCAGCTTTCGCCGAGAATAATTCACTTGGCGAACTTCTTAATTCATAGCAATCTATTTTCGTTCCCTCTTTTCTTTGTGCATGAGCGGGAAAAAAAAAGTGCATCGTTCATACTTTGAAATAATTTTAACGAAGTGCGTAAAGCACGTCTGGCGTTATTATCGCTCATAACGAATATGCCAAACTTCAAAACGCTCCAAAATGTAAATTCACTACTTTAAAATGATGGTAAAAATTTTATAGGTTATAACTCAAAATGTTTTTCGAAAAATTTATAAAAATTATTTTTAAATAAATCACTAAAAAATAGGCGAAATCATTTTAAAGAGCTAAAATTTTAGGGCTAATTTTTGAAAAACTATTCCTACATTTTTTTACAAAACTTGGCACTTTGGCATAATTTGAGTCGTAAAATTGAAATATGAAAAAATAGCGGCATGTCATTTCAGAGGAAATCTGATTTTGTGTCAAAATACCTGTGTTAGAACAACATTAGATATAAATCTAATACATATCCTAAGTTGCGCTTTCGAGACATGAAAACCGAAAGCTGAATTTCGTCAATCGGCCCCGTAGAACGGGAAATACAGAACTGCCCCATTTTTTATTTTTTTTTTTTTTTTTTCGCTTCGCAGTGTACATGATATGCATTCGGTGTTTATAATCGGATTACACTGATACTTAATTTATATTATTTAAGTACAATGGTTACCATACGAATACTAACGCCTAAATACTGACACTTTTTGGGCCAGGTGGAACAGGTAAATTGTGAACTATCATTCAGTTATTGAATGGTTAATAAACCTGGACAATGCGATTCATGTAATTTGTTTCCGTATGCGGTGGGTACACACAATGGTTATAAAATGATTACTCTGGTACTTCAAGTATACAATATATGCATACAAATGTTTCAATAGTGTTCCACTATTATTTAAATATAGGCATGCATTTTTTTCACTTACACAGTTGTTATAAGAGGATTACATTGTTGCAATTTTTGCTTAGATTGTAATCACACAGTTTCTACATTGATGCTAGAATTGTATATTTTATACACAAATTTGTTGCATCATAGCATTAATGCTTAAATAAAATATTAACCAGTTAACTGTGTTTGACGATTATACTCGTCATGGAGAAGCGGCACCATTTTGTGTATTGATGAGTATACTCGTCATGCATATATTATGTTAATGAAATGGAAAGATAAGTGGGAGGTTTATTTAGTAAGTACATTGTCATTATGTACAGTAAGTACTGTACATAATGACAATGTAATTGAAACAGAGAAATGAAAAACAATAACAAAGAAACTGGAGCTAGTGATTGATGATAATAAAAAGTCGGTGGAGTGGATAGGGGCGATGGAATTATCATAGCGTACTCCACAGAAGAAAACGGCTCAAAAAGTGCTACAAAAAGATATTTTTCCATTTCTTAGACATTATGTGTCTGAATGCATTCATATTATATAAAAAAAGGGAACATGATAGCGTATCAACCTTTTGCTCAAATTTATTGAAAACACTTTTGCGAAGTATCCAATTGAAAGGAATAAATCGACACAAATTCGGCCATTTAGACCTAATATAAGCCAATTAGGCGGAAATCGTGTTCCGGATTATATACACGGAACATCGAAAAAAAAAAAAAAAAAAAAAAAAATCCTAAGCGAAGGTGTTCGCATTGCTACAAACGTAAGATCAGGATGGAATCGCGTTACTGGTGTTCGATTTGCAAAATCCCATTGTGTATGGTACCCTGTTTTGCTGAATATCACTCCACGGCGGGAATTTAAATTCTTACTTTTATATGTATAATATTTATTTCAATTTATTGCGTTTTTAGTTTAATATGTATGTAATATATGCTTATGTTAACCAAATAGGTAAATATTAGTAATACAATTTTCAATTTTATAAAATAAACCCTCTCTCTTAAACGAGGGCGCCACAGTTAACTGGTTAAGCTAATGCCTAAGTGATATACTTACACCGCTCGCATTGCACATTGTATGTATTCAGTCCCTATAACATATTACTGCTTAAAGAATGTTTACCTATTTGGGCCAGTGGGGCATTCAACCTGGACATTGCATTCGCTATAACTGCATGTTCGTCGCACTTGGCCACAATCAGTAAGTACGCTTAGTTTTTTTAAATGCATATTCACATGCTCGTCATATTGGGGTTACAACTATGCTATAGGCTGAACTATTAGAATCACCCAATCACACACTTTTTGAAAACAAGAATGCTGCTTTGAGAGATCTTTAGCCAACACGCGATGTTGGAGCATATATTTCTTCAGAAAATTGCTTGAAGAGTATTGTTTTGTAATATAAAACCTCCCAAGCTTTGATAATACAATCAAAAGGATCATAATTCCCAATATCGTATACAAATTGTGTAATATAGAACATATAACTTGCACACTATTGTGTAACTCTGTTTTATAATATTCAGATAGGTACGACGATTTAATGACTTCTAAATGACTTGACGTCGTTAAATTTCTAACTAATAAGCACATACATCTGGAACAGATCTCCAAGTGTAAAATATTTAAATCAAATGGAAGAGAAACATTGCCATGGGAAATTTAAAATTAAGAAAAAAAGGGAATCTTTGTTTGGAGATATTCCGAATAATTCAAAAGCTATCAAACACAGATCCATCTCCTTCACTAGCGAAAAAACGTTTTGCAAAGTAAGAGAAGCAACGACCACTTTTATACAAAAAGCAATAAGCACAGGAGAACAAACGTAGCCCCAGTTATAGATAAAAAAAAAACCTTTTTGAAGCGTTGAAAAGCCACACTATTAGAAACTGAAAGTATCTGGAAGAACTAGCTGGGACTCTGGAGATTAATACGAGTCCCAATCCTATATTTAAAACAGTGTGTATTAGTTTTGAAATGGGAATTTTCGTCGAATCACTATAAATGCGTCGTTTCATTTCTCATTCGAGTCTATTGCCATTCTGCAAAATGCAAAATAAGATAGTTATCTTTCAAATTTAATCTGTCTTTTGTGGATTCACAAAGTAAGTTACTTGAAAGCAGCAGATGCAGTTCTTAAAAATGTTAGTTTCTTATTTTTGAATCGGATTTCTTTAAATAATAAAAATGCATTTAATTCATATCTGCGTACTCATTATTTTCATAGAATGACATTATATTTTTTATTTTCTATTTCCTATTTTGTAAACCTTTAATGAATTTTTGATTAACAAACTCAACGATTTGTGAGTGTGCAGTGGCAACACGGTGCGGGAGCCTGTCTACGGGAAATTTTAAAGATATGCCATTTTTTAATATTTTTTCATTTTGCTGCTGAATTGAATTTTACGTGGCGTGTTTAATAAATAAAGGTAACACTCAAAACGTTAATAATAAAAAGACAAAACAAAATTGTAAGCCATCTTACTAAGAAACTGAACATTGTTATGATGAACTGAAGAAAAAACTGATCATTTACTGCTTTCTGTTTGCTGAACATTGATATAATGAACCGAAGAAAAACCTGAACATTAACTACTATTTACCTACTAACCATTGATATGATGAACTGAAGAAAAACTGAACATTTTTAACATTATATCTACTGAATACTAATATGATGAACTGGAGTAAAAACTGAAGAACTGCTATAGCAACAGAGAAACTGTATGTCAGTACTTTTTTAACATTGTATCGGGAATTCTAAACATACGCTGCTATTCTGCTTTTAAAATATTTTTGATTTTGTTGTTGAGCTGTATATGGCGTAAAGGCGAACAAAACGATGCTCAATAATAAAGCTAAAAAGACAGAAAAAAGGAAGAAGAAGCAGAAGGGTTGACAACAGACCCCTTTTGGGTGACCGTTAGAATTTGAAACTTTTTATATTTTTTAATTAAGTTCTTAAGTATTAAAAGTTGTATTAAAGATTAAGCTCTGTTTACTTATTTTTCGTTTAATGTTTTTATTTTTAGGTCAGATGTTAGTGAATTGGTTTTGCTCGGCCTTTCCTGAAGATCACCATCTAAGCCGTCAAGAGTTGAGGCTAATGGCCGCTCAGTTCAGCACCAATTTGCTTTACGCCGGGGTTCTACGTCCTCTAGACCCAGAGAACAATGATGGACTCTTTAGGGCAAGTACCAGGCTAATAATTGGTTTGGAAATGAAAAACATTGTTGAGGAAATAGATTTATTTGCACGTGCATTGATTTTTGATGGTATTGCTAAATTCGAATATTTTATTGAAACTCTGCATATGATAAAACAAACGAAAAACAAGCTAAGTACTCATAAATATCACATTATGCCGATCACTCCGAATTCCTTTTCATCGAGATGATTCATTGCAAAATTAACTTATATTAGCAAATTTACTCCGCTTACGTCGATACCCTGAAAACTTACTTTCTTTGCGCCTGTTCCATTGCAAATTTACTACTTTTACGTTACGTAGATTCCTCTGCAAGTAAATTCTCTTACCAAGATTTCTCTACGAATTTACTTAAATCGCGCCGATTTACTACATAATTTACTCATGTTATGCAAATTGAATGGTAAGTTATTCACGCCACGCCTATTCCTGTTGCTTGATATTGGTTGCTTCATTTACGTCTAAGAATTTGGAAGTGAAAAGACCTGCGATGAAATTAATTTTTAATTCTTTGGTAAAATGTTATGTTTATATTCAATATATACATTGCAAATATCATATGGCTCTTTCTGTTACACGAAAATACTTTTAGAATGTAGTTACAAAAATTCTCTAACCGTTGCCATAATTGATTTCGTAAGCATGCATGAATTATCTTCAGTTATATATATTTCATTGCATTCTTTTTGCAAAGTATAGTCTTTGTAAAATTCTATAAAAATAACATTGGATTAAACATGATAAAGAAGTTGCTGTTACTGGTGAGATTGAAAAATTATTTAATTTAAGTTTTAAAAATGTGTAATTATCTGACTTATTTTAAAAACAAATTTAATATTTTTTCATTCTACATAATATATTTATCTGGCATTATTCAGAATTCAAAGATTGTTTTTGTTATATTTGAAAGCTTTATACGGGTACGCTGTCAAATTTATGCACGTATTGAAAGTTATGCATTTAATTACATATTTACATAAAACCAGGCGGTTTATCTGAAATATCTCAATTTTTAAAGAGAACGTATATCATACTAATTTTAAGATTTCTTTTGCATCGTACTTTATTTTATTCTTTAATGCTTCTCGATACTGTGCATTGATAAATTTATCTTTGATTTTACCATATTTGAGTTTTTCAGCTTCATCGAAATTAGGCTATTAGTGGCCATGGGAAAAAGTCTCTGAACGTCGTTAGTGTGACCTGAATTCAATCTCGGTTCTAAACTGGCTGGTTGTTTGCATGTTTTGTTTGTGTAGTGTAATGTAAGTACGTGCCAGTTTTCCTTTAGAAATTTCTCACGAAAGTATCATACCTCGTATAGATAGCCCTCGTGTGCCTTGCTACAATCCAAATAATTCACCTACTTTGATTAAAAAAAGTAGATTGGGTGTATCTTCTTAATAAGGTTTTACCCTGAACTTCAACTTTTGTACATCGGTTCCTGCCTGCGGTTTACATTTGTCGAATACTTTTACCATCGAACAAATACAAATAGAATAGTCTTTCCCACTTCCTTTACTAAAACGTTTCACTGGCAAATGCGATTCACAAATCACCAGCAAACTGACAGTGTCTGCATGCGACGCACAGATATTTTATCACCATTTTGCGTGGAACACTTTTATGACTCCTTTAACACTGCTGTAATTCGAAGCAGGATTCGGTTGCGATTACGACATTCTCGTGAATGGACTCTTCCATGGAATTGCGTCGCTTCCGATTTCCTGGAAAGAGAGGTGAATAGTGTTTAGCTTGCTATCGATCGCCTAGAAGCCCGAGAGAGAATGACGGTGTCGTTACCTAGGCAACGGGACGACGCCTGTTTTAGGCCATCTCTTCGCTCTTTCTTTTTACTGTGCTGTGTAGGGCAAGTCTGTATCTGCCAGGTGGACTGTTTTCTTGTATGTTTTCTTCTCCAGACTGTGACGTCAGAATGAAATTCATGTCGTCTTTTTGGAAGTTGGTTTAGTTCCATTTTATAATGGGATTTACTATGGTTTGGAAGGGGAAAATATTTATGCAAAATGTGGGAAGTGCGAAGTTTTTCATTAACAGGCAAATCGATAAAATGTCGCAAGGCACGTGTATGAAACAGTAATATATTCCTTTAGAGCTTTTCAGTTTTAAATGCATCAACGAGGCTTTTGGAAATATTTTTAACATTTTTCTACTTCACAGGTTACAACATTTTAAGTACAGGACCTAATTTACGTAAGGGAAAAAAAAAGCACATGTTCCCAATTACATCAAATCCCCCTCTGATTTTAAATCATGCATAATTTTATTTTATATTCTAGGTTTTTAAAAATATAAAATTAGAAACAGGACCAAAAATTCAAACTTTTAGTTTTCATTTCATTTTTAGGTTCAGATACTATATTCTTGTCTTTGGACTCTCTAACCCGGCGAACGGGCTCTCTGTGTGAGAATGTTCGCTGTGTTTTACGCATGTGTACCCTAAATAAGAGACAGAAAAGTCTTATTAGGAAGCTCTCCTTCATTTATGAAAGTACTATTCTTGTATTTTGCCGTAAATAGAACCAATCAAATTTTAATTCTAATAATTTTTTTGGGCGAGCGATACCCTTTAGTGAAGCTTCTACAGGGGCAGAAACTATTCAGCATTACTGTCGTTGATTATTACATTAATGAAGAATTTAATTGCATTAATTCTATGTTAACTTTGCAAATTAATTAAGATCTCTAATAAAATTAATAAGAATTGTTAACATTCTCACAGAATAAATTCTGAAGCACTGATTACTGAGAAGGAACATAATATATTCGTACAATTCTTAACCGATTTACTCAGCTAACATTGAAATGGACTCCACTGCTCCGCGCAGCCCTTGTAGAAGGCTGCTCAGCCTTTTGGAAGCATTCGAGAATATCGTATTTAAGGCTTAAAAATCCGTTTTGCAAAAACTTCCCAAAAGTAGCCAAGCTAGCGGAAATGTTCCAACTACTGACAATTCGGTGATAATTTCTGTCGCCAAGGCCAGTTACGAGAAATGTTTGACTGTATCTGGAATTCTAACTGAAGTGACTCGTATTTTTACAATTTAACTGTTCTATCCAGAATCGAAAAATCTACAAATCTCTACAAACATGAAATAAATATTTATAAATAAAATACGTAACCACAATTTCAGTCAAACCAAATTACGCGCTAAAATTTTCACTCAAAATGTGCCAAATAAATAAAAATAATGCATAACGCCATAAAAAACACAAAATAAGGATTTAATAATTTCAAACTTTTAAGTACATTGTTGCGTGCGTAGGATTACGTAATGTATTAATGAACGCAGAACCGATGAGAGCTTGATGAAATTTATTTCATCAAGCTCTCAACTGTGAAGTGTCTCTTTTGATGAAATTTATTTCATCAAAAGAGACACTTTACAGTTCTGGAACGTTCCACAAAAATACTCTTGCAGCTGTTTTTAGTTTCGGAAAGCATAAGTGTCACACTTCTGACAAATAAGAACGTTAAACACAACGCAATGCAAAGCGTATCTTAAGAACGAAGCTCAAACGGAGATATCCTAATACTCCGAAGTTGACGCTGAAATGAACAACCGAGATCTGATGTCCTCTCCGGGCTTATATAGTTTCCCCCCTTGCCGCTAATAAATTTCTAGACCTTCCATTTCTCGAAATTGCTGGAAGGCAAATACGATTATAGTTGCATATAAGGAGCGGATGCGGTTACATTTACATATCAAGATCAATTAGTTATATGAGGACCGGACCGAAACGTCGCCCAGTTTGGAGGCTTTTGGCGATTTCTCACCAAATTCGGAGACAAAAGTCACCACTGCCAGCTTAGTTTTGAGTTACTCGTTTTTGAGTTATGCGAGATGCGTATATACGCACAGACGCCACGAAAATTTCTCTTCAGAATTCAATCTAAATCAGTTTTATTATTTTTTGGAGGGAGAAGAGCCTTCTGTCCTTACGTACAAATGTCACGCAAAAACATCGTTAAATTGCACTTGATAGCGGTCGAAATGGATATTGTCGTTGAAATATGCTGCTTGAAAATTTTCGCGATTACAATACTTCCATTTTACTTCGTACAAGGAAGTAAGAAGTAACACAGTTTCACATATTTCACTAAAATTATTTACATATATTCAAAATTCGTAACAATATTTACAATAATATAACGAATTAAAACAATGCAAAAACATTAAAAATGTATCCTTTTTGTTCAGTAATTTTAAATGAAAAAATACTTAATAAGTAGTTTAATTAATTATTTTATATAATTGATTCCGATTGCTTATGTCTATCACGCTGAATAAAAAGGCAAGGAAAAACCACTAATAGAGATTTTTGCCCGGAACCCTCAGATTTGTCTTCTATTCTTTTTGTGAGTCAAGAGAAAGAGATTGAAGTACTAAAGAACGAATTTCGTTGAGCTAGTTAAAATTAGAATACAATTTTCAAGGAAATACTGAGAGTTGTATGCATTATTCACTTGAAAATTTATTCTTCTTTGAAATGAGGTCGAAACAGAAGCAAAATCAGTCATATTTTAACATGAAACTCTTTTCAATAAAGGAAAGCAAAAACACAACGGCAAAATGAAGATTCTTCTCTAGATTAAACTTATCTAAAGTACAGGTCAAATTTTCAATGGTATTTTTCTGTTACAACACGCCCTTTCTGTGTTGTTTTTTCTTAAACTGTCGGCAGATATTTGTGATTATATATAGATACTGTCCCCAGAACACCCGCGAAAATCGCTCTTTTGAGCGTGCAAAAATATGTTTTAACAAGATCTGTTTCAAAAATATTAATTATAGGATGATATGATACATACGTGCAGAATATCAATGGAATTATTCTTTCTATTTAAAGTGATCATGTAAGTAGTAATTAGTTGAGTGAAGCGAATGTTATTTTTATGCGGAAATACCGTTTGAAACTGTGTGGAAAACTGCACACATCCTCCATTACGTAAAAGTATCATTTGCTTTTTTTTCTTTCCAAACAGCCAGATCAAATGTACCAGTGGTCAAAACTAGAGCCATCGTCTCCTCCTTCAGCCTATACCACACCTGGTCGCCTGTCCCCCAGTGCTTGGCCTCCCAAGACTCCGATGTCCCCTGCTTATTCCGAACGGGATTTGAAAGAAGTCATTTCTGAGTTGTATGATCAACGTGTACAGGTAAATTTGAAATTTCCCTGACTATTTTACATGTTATTGTATGAAACTTCGGACTAAGAAAGCAATACATAAAGAATGGAAAGATTTAGGAAGTCGAAATTTGGAAGAATGTGTTTCATATCTCGACTTCCTAAATCTCTGTGTGTGTAGGCCAGGTACTACTGTATTTTCCACACGGATTCCCGACCCTAGTTTTACAGCTCTAGCTTCTGAAAATTAAAAAAAATATATTCACATAATTTTCCCCTTCTTCTGTTGTACATAAGATTTCCTTCTGAGGGCTAGTTTATTGGTAACTTGTATTCTCTTGATTATTTTAATTTTTATTCAGTGTATTTAATTCGCATTTGAATTTTTTAGTTAGCATTTAATCCATTTTATTTTCCATTACATTTATTATTTTAAACGTATTTTGTGCAGATTCTTCGTTAAGATATCTGAACATTGCAGGTGATCTCGCACTTACCGAAACTTTCCAAATATGTGATTTCCCTTACTTGTTTTATTTACGTTCCAGCTCGTTGCAGTCTTATCTACTGTTGGGTGTTCGATCTTTTGAAGACCAGGTCTTTTGTTCGCCCCCTTCTTTTTCGTTCCTTCTATGTTTCTTCTGGAATTGTGGTCAAGACTCTTACATGTGAGATACCTTTGGGGCTTTGCAATGCAATTGAGCCGGACACGTCACTCAGTTACCGTCCGCTATTACAATGTTAATATTACTATGTATGCCGCCCAGTCAGGTGGTCAGGGAAGCGGACTGTGATGCCGAAGGGCCTGGGTTCGAATTCCTGAGAAGGCATGATTGTAACTGTCCGTCCCTTCATAGGAAAGGCGATGGTAACCCACCTATTAGGTGCCTCCGTAATAAAGAGACCACCACATCCGGCCTTGTATAGATTAATTGACTAGGTTACATTTTTAATTGTTCACAATCTGCCACTGGAAAAAAATATATTACTATGCATTCTTAATTGGAATGTATATTTCTTTTAAAGAAGTAAGACAAGATGTTTCATATTGAAAGGACAAAAAGAAAGAATAACTGTGAATACTGTAATTGTTTAATTTTGATAAATCAAATTTACAGGGAAATTATATAGTTATCCAATTTTCTGTAGATGTAATATGCGTGCCCGTTCGGTGACACAGGAAATATCTATGAGGTACTCCAGTTCCTGAAACGAGGGTGATACAATATCTTTTGTTGTTCTGATGCTTCCATCTAAAATTATCTGTTTTTGATAGGCAGTGAAAGCATGTTTTAACGAGTTACGATTATGAAGATCACATTGAAGATCAATGTAAAATTTATTCCAACAGTAATTTTCTGAACAATTTCACAGTTAACGTTAGTTGCTATATGTTATGTTACCTATGGTTTTTATAACTACCAGTTATAATTATGATAAACATTTTTGCGTACATACCTAAAACTATCCTGATTAAATTCATAATCTAAAAAACTGATTCAGCAAAAGAATTAATTCATTCAAATTAATGAATTACCTGTCATTCATTCAAGGACATTACAAAGCTCTGACATTCAATGTGTAACCTTTAATAATGTTATGGCTATTTTAATAAGATTTTGATGAAAATATCGCAAGCGAAAATTCTGGAAAAACTGGCTAATCTAAAAATTTATTAAATTTCGGACAAAAAATAAAATGTGTGAAGAAAATAATGCAGAAAATTTTCCACTGTTTACGTTAACTCGTTACCCGTAATGAATAAACGGACGACAACTGCCCATTATCAGCTCAGTTTACTTACAAAATTAAAAGATTTATTGTTATATTAAGTCATGAAGACTCAAATATTTAAGGCATGAAGGATGTCAGATTTATGTCATGAGTGTTATATCTAAATCATGAAATAATTAGAGGCAACGTCTATCTTTTATTCCATTTTATCACTTTACAAAATTCACTGCATGTTTTTAGGAATTTGATATTTTGCAGAAATTATAAAATACAAAGATTTGGCGTAATAATTATACAAACATCGAATTAAAAACAATTAAGACTTGTTCATTTAGTTCGACCTGTTTTTATTTTCTTTAGTCTGAATCATTTGAATTTCTTTGGAAATTTCAGAAAGATCATGAGAAAAGTTCTGTCTTCCATCTCAAGCCGTCTCATCGAATTGGTGAATACGAGGAAAAAGTCGCTCGGTAAGTGCTTGAAAAGTTCATTACTATACTCCCTATAGTAATGAACTATACTCCCATAGTGTAGAATATAATAATTATATGAACTATTGAATTTTCAGAACTATAATCATATATATTTCATTTACTATATTTTATTCTTCAGATAATTTTTAATAGATGTTTATTGAGTTCTTTATTTTTGGTTTCCTTCTAACTGCGAAATAACTGTAATACACATAAGTGTTGAATGCCATGTATAATGCAGACAGCTATAAACCTTGAAAATAATATATTTTAAAAATGTCCTATTGGTTGGACTCATTGTTCGAGACGATGAGGGAAGGCTTCCATTGTATGTCTCAACATGTCCTGTAAAATAGCCTGTACTTCCCGTTTTTGCAGTCTTTAGTTTTCATATGCAAAGGATGTGCAGATATTCTCTTCTTTAGGTAATTCTCATAGAAAATAGTCTGGATCTGTCAAATCCCCGAAATGGGAAGTCGGAAGATTCAGAAATGCCTGTTGAAATAATAATTGTAATTATGCTTAACGTTCTGCATTCTTTTGAAAAGGAATTGTGTCCACTTACTATCTTGTACACAAGCATTGCATCTTCTTTAGTCCGCCACAATACGCGCTGACTGTTTGTGACAGAGCCTGTTTGAATGAAAGCTGCTACCTCCACAATCTGCCACTTTTCCGGTCAACGGCCCATGGTATACTAATTTCCCGACTCTAGCACTGAATGAATCAAACATTCTACCAGAAAGCACATTCCGGTAGAAATTCTAGTCCAGAATATAAGCCAATCTATATATTGGCGGGTGTCTACTAGTTTTGGCGTCTGAGCGTGGGGACTGTTTTAACAAGGAAGTATCTGAAATTTTAAACACGACAGAATTTGTAATTCCTCTGATTTTTCAGTGCATTTCAGACTTTTACGGGATCCACCAGCAACCAGGTGGCAAAAATCCAAAAATCGCTCAATATTGATAGCATTTCGATCTTGGGCTCAAATTTTAGGAAAAGTACTGACAGCACGGGAGTTTTCATGTATTTTCACATAATGCATAATGTGAATTTAAGCCAGTTTCATTTAAAAATATCCTCTTCGAGTGCATACCTTCCCTTACCAGATAACCTTCGCTTTGCCATGATCTAAATTCAAACATTGATTGATTTAGTTGTAAGCATTTTAACCCTCCGAGCGTATCGTACGTATCGTACAGAAGCAAATTCTACCCAAAAACAGACGCAAAACATTGATGATAACAATACATTTCATTTTTAAACACCATTGTTTAGACTTCTGATGTTGTTCCAAGAGGCCTTTATGCTTTACGTCTAATGCATGAAACTGTAAGTAATTACATCATCTATTTTCAATTGGTGGACTTAAAAGTTGTTATGGTAAAGTAAACTTAGCGAAAGCTACATTCGAATTAAAGGGAGATGGCAAAGAATTAAATGTTGGCAGCAGGATGCTTTCTAGATAAATTTAGTCTCATTTAAAAGAGGCTTAATATTTCAAAATTAATTCCCAACAACGTATTTTAAAGTTTGAAAGCAGCATACTTTGCATTACTTTTAAAGATCAATACTTTGCATTACTTTTAAAGATCAATACTTTGCATTACTTTTAAAGATCAATACTTTGCATTACTTTTAAAGATCAATACTTTGCATTACTTTTAAAGATCAATACTTTGCATTACTTTTAAAGATCAATACTTTGCATTACTTTTAAAGATCAATTTGCATTACTTTTAAAGATCAATACTTGCATTACTTTAAAGATCAATACTTTGCATTACTTTAAAGATCAATACTTTGCATTACTTTTAAAGATCAATACTTTGCAATACTTTAAAGATCAATACTTTGCATTACTTTTAAAGATCAATACTTTGCATTACTTTTAAAGATCAATACTTTGCATTACTTTTAAAGATCAATATACTTTGCATACTTTTAAAGATCAATTTTGACTTACTTTTAAAGATCAATACTTTGCATTACTTTTAAAGATCAATACTTTGCATACTTTTAAAGATCAATACTTTGCATTACTTTTAAAGATCAATACTTTGCATTACTTTTAAAGATCAATACTTTGCATTACTTTTAAAGATCAATACTTTGCATTACTTTTAAAGATCAATACTTTGCATTACTTTTAAAGATCAATACTTTTCAGAATAAATTAATGTTATTAATTTTTCTCTTAATTCATCTAGCTTGTTTACAGCACAATTTTTTAATACTTTCAAATTTGAAAGTTAATGATCATAACTTTTTTAATGAATTTCGAAATTTTCATAGCTATTTTGACGTTCCTTCTAGTTATCTAACTAAGCACTTTTTTGTTATTAAACAGGCTGCAGACACACTTACCTTATTATTGAGGGACATAATTCTTGAAATAAGCATTATCAAACTAGAATTTTTTTAAATTATGATAAGCAAGTAAAACTGGCATTGCCCATTAAAGTACTCTTTTGTCCACATTCAGCCTTAAAGAACCGTAATGCCAATAGCTGATAATCAATACAATAAATGAATTTGATATTAAATATCTGCTTTCAGAATTTAGTTATGCCCTTGATTTTCCAATAGAATTGTGTAATAATTATGTATCTATGTTACTAAATTATTTTCATTTCGGCAAATTTCTTACATAGTACGGCAAAGTTCTTACAAAGAACGTCACATTTCTTAAGCATTATACTTGGAAAATTTTTTACTTTTCTGCCGTCTTCTTTAACATATATATAAGTTGCAAAGACGCTCTGTTAAGATAATGCGTTTCATTCCAAGATGTATTTATTAAAATTCGTAATATAATTTCAGAACTGTATGTTATGCAAAATACTTCATTTAATTTTATCTTAGTTACCGACTGCATTGTTCAACTGTCTGATATTGAAATTTTGTTTTCCTTTTTTTTATTTTACCAATTTAGAAGCGTTGCTGGTACGTAATGATTTTTTTTATGGTTATTCCGTGTAATTGTTGAATTTTTTATTCTCAGGTTGGAGCTTCAGCTGGAAAAATACCAGACTCTAACGGAAATTGAAGAGCTCACCAGGAGAGCCAAATATGTCTCTTGTCCAACATCTCCTCATTCACCTTGTGCAGCTACCCAGACCGAGCCACCACGTCCTACTCTCTCTTCTTCCAGCCAATATGACATTGCGTCCTGCACCTTCCTACTTACGCGCTCCCGCTTTGTACAGACTGAATCAATCCGCTCCTTGAGCAGGAGTATTCAAACAGACGTTGGTTCTCCTTTAGCCCGAAATTCTGTTAGAGTCCAAACAGAAGATGCGGGTCCGGACGTCATTCGTGGATTGCCTAGGGTCAACTCGGATGTCTCCGAAATATTGCCGTCGCTTGTTACGGAGAGAAAACCCTATTTCTATAGACCTTCTGGAAGTGTTTCTTCCTTTTCGCTCAGTTCATCCACTCTTCTGTCAGAGGAACCAGAAATAAAGACTGAAGAACATTATCCAATTCGCGGCACGCAATGTGAACGTTGCCAGAAACCTGAAACAGTTGCCGTCTGCACACAAACGGATTTAGAATCCACTTGTGAACTACAAACCTCATCCAAAGAAACGGGTTCCTCTCTCACTTGCCAGATACCTCAGCCACCATCCATATCTACTATCCCTCCTCCTCCTCCTCCAATGCCCGGAATGAGTAATATGCCAGCGCCATCTCCGTTCTCTGGAATACCTCCACCGCCTCCAATGCCAACAACATCTTCAATACCACCTCCACCTCCTATGCCTGGAACTTGCTCTATACCACAGCCTCCTCCAATGCCAGGCTCTGGCATCCCACCGCCTCCTCCGATGCCAGGCTCTGGCATTCCACCACCACCTCCGATGCCAGGAAGTGGAATTCCACCACCACCTCCGATGCCAGGAAGCGGAATTCCACCACCACCTCCGATGCCAGGAAGCGGAATTCCACCACCACCTCCGATGCCAGGAAGCGGAATTCCACCACCCCCACCAATGCCGGGAAGCGGTATTCCACCACCGCCTCCAATGCCGGGAAGTGGCATACCTCCACCTCCTCCACCACCAGGCTGTGGTTCCCCACCTCCACCCCCACCACTTCCGGGAATGACTGGTCCTCCAATGTACAACTATCCTTCACCACAGGTATACATCGGTGAGTTCAGTATAGTAAAATTTAAAAAAAAATCATTTGTATTAGTGATAAGCGTCATTTACTCAATCAAATAATTAGATGTCATATAGACGTTAGAATTAGGAGATGTATAGATACTAATTTGATACTGATTTTAGAGATATATTAATGTTTGCAGTGATGTTAGGGCACTGCGAGTGTCCATCATGCCCTCTCTTACGGGAATGCATCTACGAACGCTATCCTTACCACCTATTTTATGGTCTTGTCTTGTGTTGCTCTTTAATCTAGATAGTGAAAGGCGCGAGACCGTGCGATGCATATTTGTTTCTGCTTCTTATATATTTTATTTGTATTTCGTATTTTATTTTTGCTTGTAAATCATCGCGTTTCTTTACCTAAGAGCTTTTGCTGACTGGAGCTCTGCATTTGAAATAGATTTCAATATTAGATTATTACCGACTTTTATGGAGAACACTCTTGAATAACATATTTTATTAATATCATAGCAATAAATCCTTGCGATATAAATTCCTCTTTATTTAATTACAGTATAAAACCATACTTCTCACTGCAAATTCAACGTTTAGCCTATATACGACTATATATAAAAGCATATGTATGATAGTCTGAAACAAAACAAAAGACTGCAAATATGTATTAGCTTAATAAAAAATGAAATACCGAGTTTGTAAAAAAAATAAATGACATCTTGCTCACTTGTCTTTAATAATGTCATATTAAGAGTTAACTGTGGAAATAAGAGATTTCCGTTCCCATATGACATATAACATTTACATTATATGTAAATGTTTTCTCGATGTTGTAAAGAAGATCAAAATATTTATCTAGAAGTTCATACTTATGGGTCTTATATATGTTTATCAGGGTTAGAAACCAAACTAAGAAGTGTTTTGACAGACGAATTGGAAGTTTTGAATTTGGAACTTCTCAGTACATACTAATATGAAAATAACACGAACGATAAAATAATATATATCTGAGCCGAAAAAATAAAAATGCGCCATAATTCTCCATTAACAGAAATGTATAAAAAGGAAAACGCATCTAAAGAATAAAAGTTGCAAAGCCAAAAAATGCTTAAGTAAATTCCACGCGAAGGATAAGTCTCTGAGGAACTGAAACTAAGAAATATCATATTATTCAACAAATATACCATAAATATCTAAAAAAACGCCACTTGAAGAAAAAATACCAGGAAAATTGAGAAAATGAGAACAAAGCTAAAATACGACAATTGAAGGGTCGAAATCAGAAAATCTGAAAACCATCAAAATATTCCTCCTCGAGGATATAAACTGTTAATATTTTCGTTAGGATTTAATCATTCTGCTGACTTTTTTAACTAGCCTTTGATTTGTCTACTTCCTATGATATTTTAGAACTTTTTTTATGCTTCCCTTTTTAAACAGCCATAGCTGAGCCAGTCATTCCTATGGTATTCTAAGCTGGAACTCAAACTCTTTAAATAAACCATACGTCAATCTCCAACCAATCGAGCAAATAACCACGATGCTGAAGTTTTCGACCTGCTTCGTTTTTGCGCTCTAAAAAGGCTTTTATAAATTTCTGCAACTATTTTGTGTAGTTTTACCAGAAGCACTGTCTAGAGCGTTATGAGTGCAAACTTCTCGCAGATTATGGTTCCAGTCTATTACTGACTGCCAGACATATCTAGCTGTTCTTTTCCCCCTTCATTATATGTTAATTCACTCAATAAGTCGAAAATGAACCGGAATGCTGTCCCAAATGTGATTCTACAACCCTTCATTTTCTTCAGAATGCAAAGAGGAAAACGGAGGGTTACATTAAACGAAAGCATAGATGTTAAGAGTGTGCCGCGAAATCACACTCATTCATAATTGGTATTGCATCGCATTGTTGACTCCTGTGTGCAGTATCACTGTTCTTCGCAACACTGCAGACTTGCCTGTCTCTGCGGCCGCTATCTAAAAGGAGAAATACTTATTGTTCAGACCTTTCTAAGAGTTCTGTATGAATAAAAAAAGGAATCCGTGATGTGTTTTAGCGGAGACTACTGAGTTTTGTAATTCAAGCTAGCCGTAAATTGTCATTATTCAAATCACTTGCGTACATATAGAATAGGAAATAAAACATTATTATCCATAGAATACATTTTTCCAAGTTAGAAAGTCCTTTTCTTGAATAAAATATAGCTTCAGGAAATCAGTTTATTCTTTTTAATAACACTTTATCATGTTCCGTTAAGTTTTAATATAGTAGAAAGATTCTATGGACATATCGTAACATGATGCATGTATTTAACTTCAATAAGACAATTACAGTGGATGGACAAAAATATGGAAACACCTTGTGAAATGCATGTTTGAAAAGAAAGATTGATTTTAATGAAATATGTAGGTGGCGCTGGCATTTTTGACTACTGACGCCACCTATACAACTTCGTAAATGTGCTAAACATTTCAGTTGTTGTCGGAGTACTGTTATGTGAAGTTGTCATTGCATTATGTCAGAGTTAACAGACTTCGAACATGGGCAAATTGTTGGAGCACGTATGGTAGGTGCTTCCATAAACAAGGTAGCCGAGGTGTTTAGTGTTTCAAGAGGTACTGTATCGAAGATTTATTCTGCATATTTGAAAAGCGGAAAAACATCATCTGCTAAATCACAGCGCGGACGAAAGTGTGTCCTGAGTGATCGTGACAGACGATCATTAAGGGCAATTGTGACGAAAAATAAGACCACCACAGCTGCAAAAGTTACTGCTGAAATGAATGTTGTGTTACCGAACCCTGTGAGTACCAAAACAATTAGAAGGGAGCTTCATAAACAGGGAATTGCTGGCCATGCTGCAATTGAGAAGCCACTCATCAGTGATGCTAATACCCGTAACAGGAAAAGGTGGTGTTTAAGTCATAAAGCCTGGACTATAGAGCAGTGGAAGCGAGTAATATGGTCTGACGAGTCTTCTTTCACATTGTTTCCCACTTCTGGCCGAGTTTACGTCTGGAGAACGCCATCTCAAGCCTATAATACAGACTGCTTGTTGCCAAGAGTGAAACATGGCGGGGGTTCTGTTATGATTTGGGCAGCTATATCATGGTTCTCTGCTAGCCCCATGATAACTGTGTCAGGGCACATGACTGCCAAGACTTATGTGAACATTTTGGCCGATCAAGTTCATCCCATGGTACAAACTTTGTTCTCCGGTGGTGATGGTGTCTTCCAAGACGACAAAGCCTCTGTTCACACAGCTCACATTGTCCAGGACTGGTTTTCTGAGTACGAGGATGAGCTGTCCCATCTCCCCTGGCCACCACAGTCACCAGACCTGAATATTATCGAACCTTTGTGGTCTACATTGGAACGGAAAGTGCGTTCTCATTATCCACCGCCAACATCGTTATCTGAACTTGCCACCGTTTTGCAGGAAGAATGGTATAATATTCCCTTGGCAAACATACAGGAACAGTATTTATCCATTCCGAGAAGACTGCAAGCTGTTTTGGATGCCAACGGGTTTCCTACACCATATTAAGCAAAGAAACATTTTTTTTAAAGGTGTTTCCATATTTTTGTCCAACCCCTGTATGTCCCAACTAAAAAAATTGTCTCAAGCTTCCAGTGTTTAAAGCATTTAATGCATAACATTATCATTTGCTAATCGCTAACTTTTCTGTTAAAACGAAATAATATATGTAATCTGTCCTTTCCTAGTGCGGAAGCCAGCTATTATTCCTAAAACGGCTATGAAACCCTTATACTGGACAAGAATCCAAATGAACACTCCTGCAGCAGTAAAACAGTAAGTATAGTAAATATGAGGTTCCTCAAAATTTTCAGAAATAGTTTGTAATTCTGACTTGTACATAATGTTAACAACAGATAGAAAAGTTATTACCTTAATGGGCATTCCTAGGGCTCTCTTATTTCTTTGTTAAGATTTTAATGCTACCTTTAAAATTCCTTTATTGATCATCTTCTTGACAAGATATATTTAGTTTAGTATTCTCTACTTTAGATTTATTTTTGTTGAATACTAGTGTGCCCTGTTAAAATAATAACAACATTGATTATGGTAGAATTCGGTTTTTTTTTTTTTCCCCTAAAACTCTTCTTGGAATTTGTTTTCAGGGAGAGTGAGTGCCTTTGGGACAATCTGGAGGAGACTCCACTCGAAAGCTGGGACGAGTTCGAAGAACTTTTCTCGAAGCCTATAACAAAGAAAAAGACTTCTGATGAAAAGCCAAAGACCGCCCAGTCAAAGACAAAAGAAGTACGACACCATTTCTTGCATTCATTACTTTCAAACACAAATTTGTCGCAACTAACCGAACTTCTTATCTTGAATACAAGGCAAGCTATGTGCTAATTAATCCATAAAAATAGCTCTGACGTGCCAACTTTGCTACTGTATAAGCCAAGAATTTTTAGCTACAGAACATGCAGATTGCCTTATATGCGAATACAAAATGACTTAATTCAAATGATAGAATAGTTTAAAAAAAATGGAAAGAATGTTTTTATTTTATTTGATCCGAATAATAATCCTAATAATCAATCAAATTTCACAATACCGATAACAGAGTCTGAATTTTCTAGCAATTCTCTAGTATATCTGCGAAAGGCAAGTCAGCGTGAATATCATTGCTCTACATTTCACCATTTAATATTACCGTCATCCGCTTCATAGATAAAATCATCTTCCTTTCCGTTTATAATACGGTTCTGCAAAAGTAGTAACGTTTATTTTAACCAGTTAACTGTGATTGACGAGTATACTCGTCATGGAGAAGCAACAGGATTTTATGTATTGACGAGTATACTCGTCATGCGTATATTATGTTAATGAAATTGAAAAATAAAAGGGAGGTTTATTTAGTAAGTACTGTACATAACAATACCGATAACAGAGTCGGAATTTTCAACAGGTCGAAAAACAATTCTAAGTGAAGGTGTTCGCATTGCTACAAACGTAAGATCAGGATGGAATCGCGTACATAATGACAACGTAATAGAAACAGAGAAAAGAAAAATAATAAAAAAAGAAACCGGAGCTAGTGATTGATTATAATAAAAAAAAAGGTGGAGTGGATGGGAGCGATGGAATTATCATACCGTACTCCACAGCAAGAAAACGACTCAAAAAGATATTTCTCCATTTCTTAGACATTATGTGTCTGAATGCATTCATATTATATTAAAAAAAATGTAACATGATCGCGTATCAACTTTTTGTTCAAATTTATTGAAGACGCTTTTGCGACGTATCCAATTGAAAGAAATAAATGGACACAAACTCGGCCATTTAGACCTAATATAAGCCAATTAGGCAGAAATCGTGTTCCGGATTATATACTCGGAACATGGGGGGGGGGGGGGGGGGGGGGGGGGGGGGGGGGGGGGGGGGGGGGGGGGGGGGGGGGGGGGGGGGGTGGGGGGGGGGGGGGGGGGGGGGGGGGGGGGGGGGGGGGGGGGGGGGGGGGGGGGGGGGGTTGGGGGGGGGGGGGGGGGGGGGGGGGGGGGGGGGGTGGGGAAAAAAACAATCCTAAGTGAAGGTGTTCGCATTGCTACAAACGTAAGATCAGGATGGAATCGCGTTACTGGTGTTCGATTTGCAAAATCCCATTGTGTACGGTACCCTGTTTTGCTGAATATCACCCCACGGCGGAAATTTAAATTCTTACTTTTATATGTATAATATTTAATTTAATTTATTGCGTTTTTAGTTTAATATGTATGTAATATGGGCTTATGTTAACCAAATAAGTCAATATTAGTCATAAAAGTTTCAATTTTATAAAATAAACCCCTTTTTTTCATCCAATATCTTACAGCGCAAACTTACTCTGTGATGGACGAATATACTCATGGCTCGATTCTGGCGACACAAAACGGTGTGCACTCTTAAACGAGAGCCCCACAGTTAACTGGTTAAAAACCTAGAATAAAAGGCAACTCCTTATTTGAGGTCCATAAATATAGAATCGAGCATGGCAGAAATTATATTTTGTTAGAATAAGATTGGCGAAAAAAAATTGAAAGAACAACTGTAAAAACAAATATAGCTTGAAAGATTTCCATGGTTATACTATGAAATTTGCGTTAAAATCTGGTCATGTCTAATAAACCGCAAAAATTCAGAATTGTCTATTTCTGGGAAAACTAAATAAGAGCATAAAAAATGCAATATAAAGACCAACATTCAAAAAATTAATGTAGCTCTAGTGAACTCCTTTGTAATCGTAGCTATTCTCTTTCTCTTAGCAAGCATTGCCAGATAACGGAATCTATTATGGCATGCTTCTGATTTTGACTGATCTTCATATACGTCTGTTGAATATTGTATGTAGTCATTTCAGTGAATCTACAACACTGACCTACTGAGACCTAAGTTAGCCTAAAGGCAACAAACGGAATATGTTACTCAGAGGTAAAACCATCTACCATCTACTATCTACTGGCCACAACCTTAGGTCGGGGCCAAAACAGATCAGTCGGGCACTAAAATATCAAAGTCAAATTTCAAAGTTTACATTTGTACAATATTCAGATTTATTTGGATATATTGCGTACGTTGAAGAAATACATCTGAAGTTATTATATTAAGATTTTCCAGAATAGTTAAGACAGGAATTGACAGCCGCCTACAGTAACAAACATGGTAACAATAAATGCAAAACGTTTAAAGTAGAAGATTATAGATAAATGTCAGTCATATATAATAGAAAAACACAAGTAAATGAACAGTAAGGATCAACACCTTTCAGAATCTGCACGCTATTGAAATGAAGTATATAGTAATGAAAGAATCAATTCTGATCTCTAGAGTCCAAATTTAAGTGTTAATGAGCATACTTTATGTTCCATAATCCAGTACTAAATGTTTTGTCCAAAGCAAAGTATTGTGCAGTTCATCTACAGTTGCATTCTGTGTGATAATATTATGAATTATTAATTTGAAAAATGCTTTCCTTTATGCATATTTTATTGAAATATTATAAATTGTAAATATATAGTTGAATCTCTATTATTGAATCTCGGTTATTCAGTATTTCTTGAATCTCGATTATTTTTCCGAATTCAGATGTTTCTGCGGTTTATAACATTAACCCATGGATACTCATGTTTCGAAGCCATAGAATATTTTTTATTAGAAATCGGGATTATTTCAACTTTTGAGGATATAAATTACTTCGATCACTTATTGTAGTCTATATGAATAATTCCGATGCGTTTTTAATCTGGTAATTATCTGTATTACGATTGATTGGTCAACTGTTTTAAGAAGATTTTATTTCAAGCATTAATTATTGATTTTTTATTATTTATTGGCTGATCCTTATTGACTTTTTAAAATTTAATTACTGATCCTTCGAGGATTAACTATGAGCCAATAATACTTAAAGAATTTTAACAATAAATCTTTAACAACTTTATTAATATTTTTATTTATTTCATGTATTTTGTATCATAATTTTACTATGTATTTTCGTTTAATCGAAGTTTTGGTTATGTTTTGTTTTTATTTCACGTATTATATTGTAGACCTTGTAAATTTGAAACAATCGACATGTGAATTACACATTACACTCAGAAGACATACATTTGATGAAATTTGGCTAGAATTTTTGTCGCCACATTGCTGTCAATCTAGAAGTTTTCGCAAAATGCATCGTCAAAAGTGTAGGAGCGGGTTTTCTCTAAGCTTCTAGTGGTGCTGAGAAACCTTATAACTCCGGCTTCTCTGAAGCGGATAGTTAGTTCAATGATTCAATTCAGAATCGTGCAATTGTAATTTGACCTTTGTTATTTGAGTGTTTTTGCTAATGTATAATATGCTTCTCATGTACGGGAGAATTAGCCCAATCTTTGGTTTCTCCCTGATCTCTTGCAAACTGTTTACCTCGTGTAAGCTTTTATTTATTTTAGTAAAGTTTATTTATTTTCCAGTTAACCTAGCATAACTAAAGATATGTGTGGTCCCTGCCATAAATCGTAAAAGTATTCTATGAAAATGGCTTTAGTTTATAAGGTATTTTATCCCTTCGTCCAGCATGCCTTCATGGTATAACGGTAGCACACTCGGCGCGTATTCGAGTGGTGAAGGTTCGAGTCCCGGCGAGGGCATTGCTCATTTTTCATGTTTCCTGCTTCAAAAAAACGTAATGACTCTACAAGTTTCAGGATAAGGATATAAGCTCAATTTTTGAAGATATTGATTGCCTGGATGTTTTATGTTGATTCACATTAATGGGAATTTTAAATGCAGTTTTTTTTTAATTCTGTTAAGTTAATGATAAATTACAGTATTTTTAAACCAAATTTGCCAGAAAAAATTATAGCTTAGCATATTGAAACACCACCTATGAACTGCAGACTAATTACAGTGGGTACAAAAAGTATTTGCACACATACATTTTTGTTCACAATTTATAAGAAAATGCATTAAGAAATACAAAAATTGGCATTTAAAAATAGAATAAGCTTATTTATATAAATTAATTAAAAAATACAATAATATTAATAAAAAAACATTTTTTGCAACAATATTAAAATAGCTTATGTCAAAAAAGTATTTGCACACTCAACTCAACTTTAGCAAATTTGCATTTTTATGCTATTATTTGACAGTCATCCCGCAGTAAATAACGTACGTAAGACGACTATAAAAGGAGGTGTGTCGAAACGTTATCAGTTGATTGTCGATTCAAATTGTAATGGCACCTAAGAAATCTGAATTGCCGATTTCGTTGCGAGAAAAAATTGTTTCTCTACGTGAAAATGGCCTAAGTTATCGAGAAATAGGTAAAAAAGTAAATGTTTGCTTCTCTACTGTTCGGTATAGTTATAAAGAAAGAGGATCTACATCAAATAACTTGCGCTCTGGACGCCCAAAGAAACTTTCACTGCGAATGAAGCGAAAATTCATAAGAGAAGCATCAAAAAGTCCATTTGTTAGTGCAATTACTTTAGCCAATGATGTCGCTTCAACATCTGGAGTTCAAACCTGTGCCCAAAGTGTTCGAAATGTCCTGCATGAAGCACACATTTATGGGAGATCACCAAGGAAAAAAAAACCTCTCATAACTGAACGAAATAGTCTGAAGAGACTTGAATTCGCTAAGGAATATAACAATAAGCCAATTCATTTCTGGAAAAATGTCATATTCTCCGACGAGAGTAAGTTCAATATCTTTAAATCAGATGGCAGGAAAATAATTTGGAGAAAACCTTGTACTGCTTTTCATACCCAAAAATGTGTTACCTACAGTTAAACATGGAGGAGGTTATGTTATGATTTGGGGGTGCATGGCTAGCAAAGGAGTTGGTAATTTGTGTTTTATTGATGGGAATATGATAGCTCGAACCTATATTGATGTGTTGCGAGATAATTTGCCACAAAGTGCAATAAAATTGGGTATCAGTAATTCGTACTATTTTCAGCAAGACAATGATCCCAAGAACACTGCCGGTATAACACGTATGTGGTTGCTTTATAATGTACCCAGAAAACTTGCCACTTCACCCACAATCACCAGACTTAAATCCTTTGGAAAATTTGTGGAATTCTTTGGATTTAAAAATAAGAAAAAGGAAGATTTCAAGCAAATCTGCTCTTAAACAAGCCCTTATTGAAGAGTGGTCGAATACTGACCCTACTGTTACAGAAAATTTAATTAAATCAATGCCAGCAAGATTACAAGCAGTAATAGATGCTAAAGGAATGCATACTAAATATTAGTTATTTGAAATTTGCTTATATATTTTATTTCTTTTGTATTCATGCAGGTGTGCAAATATTTTTTGATACGAGATATTTTAATTTTGTTACAAAAAAGCATTGTTATTTATATTATTGTAATTTTTCTGTTTGTTTTGGATGATTAAACTTATTCTGATTTGGCAGTACCAATTTTTTTATTTCTTAATGCTTCTTTTTATGAATTGCAAACAAAAATGTAGGTGTGCAAATACTTTTTTTACCCACTGTACGTGTTTGTTTCGCGCGTCATCTATTACGGACGGATAACGAGATCTGCTGTTTTAAGGTGCCCCTGTATTGATATATTGTATCTACTTTGTCTGTTTTCAATTACATCACATAAAAAGAAAAAAAAAACAGAGTATTAAACTCAATTCATTTGTCTTCGTGTGTTTTTTGTGTGTTTGCTTGTACCTTATTTACCTGTTTTGTTTAAATTTTCGTAATTCAAATAGTCGCAATCTTCGCCTTCCTCGTCCTTTTTAGAAATTGGCTTTTTCAAGAAACGGAAAGAAATGAATGAAACTAAAATACTTTCGTAAGTTTCTAACAATAATTTAGCAGATGTTCCTAGCGAGATTGCGGATGCGGAAAACCGTGAGAATAAATGTTCTGATGGCTGTGAGGACGATTCCTGCGACAGTGACATTATTAGACCTGTAAAGATTCGTAATGGGGCAATGCTTTCAAGTGATTTTGACGTTAACGATACAGATGATTCGTTTCCAGGGAATGATAAGTATTGGTATGAAACTAAAATTCTACCACACTTACAAATGTTTGAAGGTCATCCAAGGCTCATTACATTTCCATCTCATTGTGATTATGTAGTCTCTGTGACTAGCCTGATGTTTGGTGATGATTTGTTTGAAATGTTGCGCAAGGAGACGTATACTTATCATGATCAGTGAAACTTAAAACTAAAGCACTCGAGTAGCCTCCTGTTAGAGGTAGAAGCTAGGTTAGCGTTTCCGAAGGTGATTGAGTACTGCTGAACCTAGCTAACTGTGGAACTTCCGCCCTAATTTTAAAAAAAGGGCGGTTCGAGGATCTCCTACCCCTCTTTCCTGCTTAGAATCACCGTGATGAGTGCTCCCTTGCAGCATAGACATTATAAGCTTCCAAAAATCCATGTCTTCTCCAGGATTCCGAACCTGTATCCATCTTTACAGCAGCCAGTGTCACTAGCCAATGTTACCGGTGATAGTAATCACTAGCTTCAATGAGAATCATAAGTTCCGGTTTCTCTCAGCTTATTTTTTATGTAACTTTTTATTATAGATTTTTCTCCTTTTAACGTATTTGTTTTCTAATATAACGCCGTTTTTTTCAACCAGGTAGCCAAGCTTTTAGATCAAAAAAGGTCCCAGAATGTTGGTATACTCATATCTAGTCGGCATCTGGATATTACAGAAATTCAGCATGGTAAGTTAATATCATAATTATCAAGTCATAAATAGAGTTTTCATAGTTGTTTTTGAAAAATTATGTTTACTTTATTAATTTCCGGGATATTTCAGAATTTTTACATTTCTTGAACAGAGGTCAACTGGTTGTCATTCAACAATATCTAAATTTCCAGAGCCTAATAATGTGTTTAATATTATGATACGCAAATTGCTATTAGTTGGTCTGTAGTTAAAATCCTTGATCTCATGAATTTCTTTTATCAAATGTATCGATTTTATCAACTTTTGAAACACAGTAACTTAATACACAAAATGAAAAATTTATTTAGTATTTAAATTATTAGCTTTTTTGTGGGTGTTTTTCCCCCGGATCTCTACTTTTCACCTTCTGTTTATAGCGATAGAACAGTCTAAAATGGAAACGATTATACCCGTCTGACGCTAAAACGTATTAAGTACAATTTCTGAAATGAATACTGTAATGTTACATTATGATTACAAGATATCATAATATTATGCTTTACTTACAGCTTTGTACAATTTTGATAGTTCCGTCGTCGATATCGAAACGCTCAAATCCGTCTATGATATCGTAAGTATGCCTGCGTTTCTGAAATTACTTTTTCTTTTTCCGTTTCGCTTTATCTCACTAAGACATCTGGTTTCCTCGACAGCGGCCTACTCCCGACGAATTGCAATCTATCTCAAACCACAGAGCCGCCCAGACCGATGTGCCTCTCGACAAACCAGAACAGTAAGTTTGAGTTTTACATTTGATTGTTAGATCTTTTCAGTTTCGTACGTTTCATTTGAAATATTTAATTCAGAGTTCAGCCTTTTATACGCCAATGAACACATAAGGGGAATGTACATGTAATACAACAAACCTAATCAACGCTACTCTAGCGCACTGGAGTTGTACAATTTAATTCATCCCTAAGATTGATTGCGAAACTAAGCTAGCTCCGTTCGCCAACGTAAATGAAATCCAAAATAGATCTAATTTTATTTAGCGAGTATTAAGTAGCGAACAATAATAAATCCCTTCGCTCCAATCACTGTTCATTGCTCTGTGCTGATAATGAAAGTTTTAAACAGGGTGTTTCAAAACAAGCTTAAAGAGGTTGTACAACACACCAAAATGATAAATAGAATGCTTGATAAAAATACTGAAACGTGAAAGAACTAGATGATACTTGCTTGGCAATAACCGGAGTACTGCAATTTCAAATTCTGAAACTACAAATTAATAAACAGACTTTGCTGGAGATATGATTTCAGCAGAAAGTCTTATCAGAATTATAGGAGGATATTCCAGTGACATGTGTCCCAGCACCAAGGAATACCATTTCATTTTTGATAAGACATACGGAGCTATCTGGATACAACATTTCCTGGGCCGTTGGAATGGACGATGTTTTCTTATCGGCTAACGTTTCTCGCAAACCCCGATCTACCACATCGTGATTTTTTGTGATATCTCGAGAGCTTCATCTAAGAAACTTGTTGAATATGAACAGAAATCTTCCTCAAGAATTCCATCAGGTATTTCTAGCATGTTTGAGAACGTCCGCCAATCCCTTCACTGTCAATGTGTATTGACAATAGCTCTTTCGATCAGTTACTGCTATTATTTCTAATTAGGTTTTCCCTTGGCTTCTGTATAATTTTTATGGGGGGACTTATTTGCCTGGCTTCACCTAGCACCACGAAGGTATCCCTTTCCTTGGGCAGATACTTCTCGAGTACTTTGCCATAATTAAATAAACCAGACTAAACCATAACATTGCAAATACATCACAAATCACAAAAATGACTAACAAAGTAAAATCTGAAGAAATAAGCAATACATAAGAGCTTAAATTGGTTCATAATGTTCAGCTTAGCTAACTCTATGCTTGAACACAATCATATTTTTAGGGTTGCGCAGCATTTCTACAGTTTGAAAATTGTTTTCTGGCAAAGTCTACAATGTCGGCAAGTTTGCGATTAGATCGCCAAAAGTCACTGAGTTATGTTTACAGTTCAAGTATGGAGCGACTCAGAATTAAAGGATTTACAACATAATACTTGAGACAAATACAACAAGTGGCAAAAAATTTAGTTAAACAAAAAATATAAAATAAAATTATTTCACTGAAGGAAAGAAATAAAAAACAATAAATAAACGAAAATTTTAATATAAATTTAGACTATTATTCCAAGCATTTTATATTTTATTTTGCGTAACCGGTTTCACGTGAGATATATGAGAAATGAACGTAATGTGTTAATAAATTTATTAAAATCAGTGTCAATATTTTATAATTTCTAATATACTTTTGCAAAGAATTTAAAACTCGAAATATTTATCCCACTTAAAATATTTCTCATTAAAATATGACAATAAAATAAATATTACGTAAGTGAGGAGTGTTTTGACACTATAGGTTTTGAAAATGACTCTTTTATTCTGTAATATAACTGATAGAGCGTTTGAAACATTTATGCTGTGACAAAAAACTATATACGGTGCCTGTTATAGATATACAAAACAAAATGCTAATCATTTTTTCAGGTTTTTATGGGAACTTTCTCGAATTCCTGATTACGCCATCCGTATAGAATGTATGATGTTTCATGCCTCCTTTGCAGAAACTCTCGCTCAAATCGAAAGCAAGCTGGATAACCTGAAATTAACCTGTCAGGTGAGTTACAATTTAGCCTTAAATTGAAATATCTGCTAACCGATTTGCAAGTTCATTAGCCAAATATTCAGATATTATTTAAAACCTAGTAAGTTCTCCATTTTGTAATAAATCGAATAATGCTTTAAATTAAAATGACCAATCAACGTACCTGTGTGCTTGTTAAGTTTAACCCTTGTTTTCTGTCCCAATGATCTGTCTCAAATTTTAAATGTGTCAGCACAGATATTAACTGTCGTCGAGCGCACTGAAAGAACAAAAAATTTTTGGCTGCTCTGTAGTCTGCAGAATGTAAATAATAATAGGCCATAATACTAGGGCATACAACATCCTATTCATTACATTATTAAAATCGTAGTTTTAAATATATAAAAATAGCTAAAATAGCTTGTCTTTAAAGTTTTAAGATCCCATTTTAAATTGCTTTACCAGTCGTAGTCATCCACAGCTTCAAAAAAAAATTTTAAAAAAATTACAAAAATAAAATAAATTAAAACTAAAACATTTTGATTTTTTCCAAGGTTTTCAAACGCTGATTTAATTTAACTTTTGTATATGAACAAAGTTCGTAAAAACTTTGTGAATAAATTTGTCATAAAGAAACAAATTAACCAAAATTGTGGAAATTTTTTTTCCAATTTGAAACAGTAACAATTTTTAAACGTGAATATATTCGAAACCCTTCCGAGTATTCTCTTTTTGGATTTGCTCCGGATATATAGCTATATCATCCGGATGCTTTCTATCTGTATTGTTACGAAATGTCAAGGCGCGGTGAGATGGCTTCCCCGCAAAGCAGTTTTAGGGTTACCATAAAATGGCAAAAGAAGGCAGGGTTGCCATATTTGGCTAGAAATCACCCATTCGGCGACATTTGGCGATATGCCATGGACTGATGGAGAGCTTTCTGAAACGAATTCTTACCGGTTTAGAACCGAAGAATCGGGAGCTGTGCTCGTGTGTCGTCGAGTGCATCGCGAGTTGTAGCGTGGAGAGTCTCGAGAGTACGTGAAGTTCCGAGAACGACCAAGCAGATTTGGGAGCTGTATCCACCGTTATCGCCTGACAGTGTGAAGGCTGTGTCTCTGAACGTGTCAGCGTGTTTATAACAGTTCGACGACTGTAAAAGGGATTTTGGAGCTGTTCTGATTAATATTGGTAAATAAAGTGTGTTTCGATACTTCATCAAGTGTCGTCGTTATTCACTCCCAAATCTACGAACCCCGTACGAACGTGAAGGAAGAAAATAACGTAACAGTATATTAGTTATCATGCAAATTTGAAATTTTAGCATTAGAAATGTGTTTTTATTTTTATCTTATATAAAGGATTTTAGAAATTTGAGAATATTTGTTTCCCACCTGTAATCATTACTCTTAGTTCTCTCATATATCCTACTTTTTGTCGGATAAATGCAAATTACATATTAAAATAATTACAAATATAGAAATTTAACAAATAAGATTGCGAACTCATTTTTCTTCTAAATAATCTATTTCTGAGCAGAATACATTTTAATGCTTTGTCAGAAATAAGGCATCTTTTTCTCATAGTATTCAACAAGCTAGACTTGAAATTAGTTGTTTCTAGTAAAGCCTGCTTCGCTTTTAAAAAGTAAACTATCTTCCAGATTAAAAAATTTGAGAAAATTTCAAGCGGGACTTACTTCTACGTTGAAGAAAACTCCAAGATTACATGAAAAATCGATTTCTATTGAAACCTTTTACCAAACTTTTCATCTCAAAATGTAAATTGATTTTTTACATTTTTGTGAATGTTTGTTGCATGGTGAATCTATGGTTTCTCCTACGAGGAATGTAAATAATTTCTTCCACGCTTCGCAATTCTCAAAGTTGGATTATTTTCTCTTACGGAGGCAAGTTTCCTAAGCATTTTCCAAATCTTGCTTTTATATAAAAATATATAATTGTATTAAATACAAAGTGTTCAATATTGAATCCTTACACAGCTATAGCAAGTATTCATGGGTTTATCGCATGCAGAAGATGAGCAATATTGCTGTAAAATGTAACTGTTATTAGAACCTCCTTCTCTACTTCATAATTATGGTATATTGGACTGTAATGTAAATAACTTGATTATGTGATTTATTTAAATATTTCTTATTTCAGTGTCTAGAGGGCAAAAATGTACAAAGGATCATCAGCATAGTTTTGTCCCTCGGCAATTACATGAACGGAGGTAAATATCCTTTCACACTTATGAATTTATATGATAAGCAAGACACGGATTTTGATGACATGTATTTTGCTTAGGTATTTTCTTCTTTTGAAGTATTTCTTATAATTTTGTGGCATTTTTGAGCATTTTGAGGCTTAGTACGTGTATGTACTTTTTGTGAATATATTCTTCAAGTCACTTCAGAATAGTTTTGATGTGAATGCACTTACTTCGATTCAAACTGCAGAGAATGCTTTCTCCACAGAGAAAATTGAAGGAAATTTGGCTTATAGCAGCTCCACTTTCTTATTTGCTTACATCAGATCCAATTCCTTGGATTCTAATCTCAGCTATTGAATTCAACAAGAGCAAAATATGGAACATGTCGATGCAATGAATTACTTGATAAACTAGGTTAGAGGCAAAGTTTCAAATACTGCGTTTTCTAAATTCAGTACTGTTTTGACTAAACCCTGTGGCTTCCAAACTATGTGGAAAATATATCTCATCTCGAAAAAGGGGAAGTAGACTCTTTTGAAGAGTTAACGATAAACGATGCAGTTGTTGTTTCCAAGTATGCTGCAATAACTGCAGTAGATCTCGAGAGAAGCTTCTTACGATATAAAAACTTATATTCTAACAACAGAATATATTTTACTTTCTAAACATCAAAAAGCGTTTAATAATTCAGGGCAATTGTAAAAAACATTTGCGCAAGCTTGAAAATGAGGAAGAAAATATTCAAGTCACAGGTATGTGTAATAGTTTGGGATCTAATCCATTTGTCATTGAATACGCCATTTTTTATATTTTTTATTTTGAGCACCCATTTAATTTTTTAAGGGTATTTTTTCTATTTTGAGTACATTTTCTGGTCATAAAAGTCCGGGCTTTGGTGATAATATATTAAAACAAAACTCATTCAGATATATAAACGAAGCTTTTATTGGTTTAAAATTTAACCCTTAGCTCTCCGCACGTTTTTGTACCACTGCCTACCAGCAACTCCGGCACATTTTCGCAGTGGAACGCAGCATCCAGAATATCTGCATAAATCTCTTTCTTGTAAATATTTTAATAAAGAAAGGGATGTGACTATTCTCCTTAACTGACCAATAATCCTGCATATTCGCCAGGGGTATCGTACCCATATTGATAATAACTCCAATAAAAGCCCAAAACTCATCCTCTTCCACCACATGCCACGTTTTCCAAATAGAATTACTAGATATTTCTTTATTCTTTAGAACATTTTCTGCGTAATTGTTGGTTCCTTTTATAATTTCATTTACCAGTTCGTTTGTGAAAAATAATTTGAAATATTGTGTCGGCTGTACAATATTTGTAGGAATTTGTGGTCCAATGACCTTTGGCGATACACTAAAATGTATTATATCCGGAATATCTAATTCTTCCGTGACATCGCGCCATTCATCTAAGTCTTCCGGCGACTCTTTGCTTTCACTTTCAATAACTACCATTCGTCGTCTCTTTGGTAGTATAATTTCGGAACCACTAATCGAAGAGTCGGAATTATAATCAACATTGTCTTCCACAATATCTTCTAACAATGAAAAATCAAACACATCTTCACAATCACTCAAATCTATATTCTCATCACAATAATTATTTTTCTCCATGTTGCTAACCATAAAATTGGGTCAAATAATGTTTCAATCGTAACAGTAGCGAGACTGAGCCCGTTTTACTACAGATAACAATTGCCAACGCCGACGATTCCGTAACATTTTAAGCCTAATCATTCTAAAAGCATTGGGCTCCGCCGCGGAGCCTACGGAGTTACGGAACAAATGACGGACGGCTCCGTACCGGAGCCAACGGAGAGCTAAGGGTTAAAACTTGTGATGATAAAATGTATTTTCTTTAGACCCATAAGGTGAAAAGTTTAAAAGCTAGGCCATGTTGAAATGCTAAATATGTACTTACAAGGTGGAAATAATGAAGAATGGAATTTGTTATTCATAGCGGCCCACAACTAGTTAAGTGTATGATACCGCTGTACATAGATATTTAATGTCGAATGGGATTTTTATAGTGTTCCCCTTAGGTAAAATGAATGGCAGCCAGTTTTCCTTAAAACGCATTTATCTTTGTCTCTATGCGGACTGTATCTTCAGGAAAAAGTGGCGAAAAACAAATGATAATAATACCTAATGTTATTTTATTGCTGTTTAATCAGTAATGAAAAACCATGTGAGGGCTATAAGAATAGTGGCAATTGAGAGCAGGATCCGGACACCCGGGGGGCTTACACAGACTATTCGGGTATAGTCCGAATCTCTCAACTGTCCAGAAAAACGCCGTAACGGAAAGGTTGAATATTGCCATACAAGGGCTGGTTGCATCGTACATAAAAACTTTTGTTAATACTTTGCTTACATATATGAGACGAAGGCTAGTTGATACACATATTGGATAAACATACTGATTCATAATAAACATACATGATATATAATCATACAACTGAATTGCTCAGTGCCGTACATACGATTACTGATGCTGGTTCATAATACAAAAACATACGAGACACATAATCATACGACTGAATTGTTCCGTGCCATATATACAGATACTGCCTTACATAATTTCTGATTTACATACAAACACTGAATTATGCAAATCAAGCTTAGTGTGTTGTGTGTGTGATCTGATTACTTTGTGTGTAATTTGAGCATGACGTGTGTCAATTCACACTGAACGGGTCATACTTTACTACACACATGATACATATAATAATTGATAACATAATAGATAAACATACATAGTATATAATCGTACAACTAGATTGTTCTATGTACATACAATTACTGATTCCTAGTAGAATAATATTCATGATACATAATCATACTCTCAATTTTGCGTGCCATACGTACATTTACTGAATTACATAATTACTGGATTGCATACAAATACTGAATTGTACAAATCAAGCTTATTGTATTGTACGTGTGATCCGATCACTTTGCGTGTAACTTGGGCACGGCGTGTGTTAGTTCACACTGCACAGGCCAATTCTTAATAACTCTAATTTGCCGTAATTTTGATTAGGTTCTTTATTAAAAACACGTTATTTGATGTCTTTATAAAAGCAAGAAACGTTTACGCTGTGTCGCGTGATCCGGCAGATTTACATGCAGCTGCTTTGTAAAGGGACATGTAGTTAGTGTTCAGGGCTGCATGTAGGCAGCAATCTGTTGTAGTGCTACCTCTTTCCCGGTAATAAGTGGGGAAGGGTCTATGGCAGGCAACAAACCTAGTGATATAAGGGGACGAGATTAGGCGTTCTGTTAAAACTTTGTGGTAGTTAATCATGAGTGTGTCTTCCTTGGGGAACTCTGTCCCACTCATGCTGCCACTGTTCATTTTCGGTAAATGCGTGTTAGTTTCGTGAAATGGGACATTGGTAATTTGAGCTGTAGAGCTTGTGCATTCAGTTTCCGTGCTTCTTCTTTGGCGAAGTGGTCCGCCTCTTCATTTCTCTGGATTCCAGCATGTGCCTTTATCCAGGAAATGCGGATCTCCTTGTGAAGAGCGGTCTTTGAATATCTGTTGTATTTCCGCGATAACTTCGGAAGTGTGCCTTGGGTTTCTTTTCGGAGGTGCGTCTTGGGTGGTGTTGATTTGTGTAAGTAAGTGTGTATTTGTGTAAGAAACGGATGTCTTTGTAAAGGACTTTTGGAGCTTTAACGTTATACAACAATCCATGCCAAGTACTTTTCTACAGGAAGATGTATGAGCCAACGTTACCTGTTCGCCTCCGTTAAATATGTACCTATCTCTTCTAAAATGCTTTGTTTTTCAGCGTATTCTCAATTAAATTAAAGGTAATAAATGTATATAAAAATAAAATAAAGGTAGGTAAAACTCTATATCGGTTTATCCTAAATTATTTTTAATTTAATCATTAAGAAAAGCCTAAAAGGTGGCAAAAATCATTTTGAAGTTAATACCTTAGTCAATATTTTTAGCATGGGAGTCAAATTTTCTGTGTTAATTTTTACAATGAATATGAATTTTCATTCAAAAAGTGAGATTTCCTAATTTCTACTAAACTGACTTTTTAAATTTAAAAATGCTAAAGCATAAATATTTAAGTCATTTAAAACGCTTTTGTAACCGAAAGTGCATGCCTACGGCTAACGTTTGCCAAAATAAGGGTCGCATAAAGTCTTCAAAGGACATGAGTATAAAAGTAAGATATAAATTTACTTTACTGTTTGCTTTTATATACTATCCATCAGTATAATTATCGTATTCTCTGATTTCGTATTTATTAGGAGAGAAAGGCAAAAGATATCGACTTCTATTCCTAAACATTTATCTCAAGTTATTGTAAAATTCTCTATTCTAAATACAATTTAGCATGTGCAATTTCTCGAAGTTTTATATTTTATTAAAGAATTATTGTTCCTCATTCAAACAGATGTGTAAAGACGGTAATATTTTTTCTTTAATTCAGAAGGATTTTTTTCCTGAGTTTTAACATAATTTAAATGCGTTCGTTTCAGGTAACGGTAACCGCGGTCAAGCTGATGGATTCGGCCTAGAAATTCTTTCCAAACTCAGGGACATCAAGAGCAAGGTAGGGGAAAACATTTGAAAGTGAAAATACCCTGTATATTTTACTTGGATTAGTCCCTATTGAGCTTTTCTTTTTTTTTTTTTTTTTTTTTTTTTTTTTTTTTTTTTTTTTTTTTTTTTGCAGGACAACTCCCTCACTTTGCTGCATTATGTCGTGAAAATATATTCAAGACTTTTTGAAAAAGTAAAGTATTCTTTAAAGCTTATTTTAAGTAATTATTATCAGAACTTGAATATAGGCATAAAACTCGGGCATTATCATAGTTTGACTCGGCTTCGAAACCCGGTGAAGGGTTGGCTACACTGGCGTTTCCTTGTCTTTCCACGTGTATAATGTGAATAGAAGCCACTTTCTCTGAGAATGTATTTCATGAATGCTTCCTTCCTTCAGGAAGCGCCCGCCAACAGCCGAGTAAAATGCAAGAAAGCAAAATGCAAAAGAGATAAGCATTATCTTGGATTTTATTTTTCCTTTCTCTAATTTCTGAAGACAGTTATTGTCTACGCTGATGGTTTGTGATTGTAAGTTTTTTTTAATCCTTCCGCAATAAACAAACTTAATTCTTTTTAGCTAAGTTCTGATTAATTCGTTATCCGATTAATTCGTTTCCAGTAAGTCTAAAGTTCACTTTATTATCAAATGGAACCCGTTATTTTTCTTGATAACGCTACATTCATTCTCGTTTTGCTCCTCCTCTTACTTTCAGTGTAAAAACGGTCGTTGTTCCTCCTATTCTGCAAAATGGTTTTGCTCCTTAAGAAGAGAGGTCTGTGTATGATTGCCCTTCAAGTAGACAGCGTTTTATTCAAAATCTACGCAAACAAAAATTACTTCCCCTTTAATTTCAGTTTATTAATTTTTTCAAATCGGACAATATAAAAGATTAGCTCTATCTTCCCTAGATGGGCCCGCCAGCGCCCGAGTGCTAAAAGTCATTGAATGCTGTTGGTTTGACTTGGGTTCGATTCCGGCGAAAGGGCTTACTGCATGATCACTTTCTTAATTTTCCGCATATTTAACATAAATACGTGCCAGTTTCCTTTAGAAAGCCGCCCAGACTATAGTGGTTAGGAGAGCCGACTGCGATGCCGAAGGTCTCATGTTCGAATCCCAGAAAAGGCATGGATGTACCCTCATAGGAGATAATGGAGCCTCTATAATAAAATTGGCCATTAGGTGCCTCTATAATAAAATGACCACCACTTCTGGCCTTAGTAGTGGCGAAATGTTTAGTGCCCGCCACTAAAAAGATGTTCCCCTTGGAAAGTCCTAAACGAAGGCATCTCTACCTTTAAGCAGATAGTTTGCGAGCTTTACCGTAATCAAATAAATCAAACTAAACCTACCCATTAGGACCTAGTGTACTTTGTCACATTTAGACCAGTAATTTTATTGTGGGAAAAAGAGGCAAAATCAGCAGTACGATCGCGGGATAAGTAGTGAAAATTCGTGCCAATTTCCGCAGCCCGAGATTTGCATTAACAATTCCGCGGCTGAGGGTTTACGTTAAGATTTAGGAGGAGGGAAAGCAAAAAAGAAACAATAATACAGATAACTGGTATGTAACTAAATAAAAATTATATACTTTTCATTTCACCCCCCTCTCGTATTCCAGAAGTTTAGCAAAACTGGTTAATTATACTAGTATTCAATTTGACATAAAATTATTTTATAGTGTATTTTTTACAGAAATTCTGACGGAAAGTAGTATAAAAGTTACTTAAATATAAAAATAAGCTAAACAACTATTTCAGAAATTAAAAAATAAAAAAAAATCCGAAATTCAGAAAAATCACTTAACATTTGCGCCCGTAATACTGTTATGGTACTGATCGTAACTGCTGTAACAATTCACTGCTGCTGCTTTCTGTGTCCCTTTGAAGTGAAAACTTCAAAGGGACACAGAAAATATTTTGTGTTTTCTATATCATACCTCAAATATTGATTTTTCTAGCTGTCTTATTTAATTACTTTCATTTAAAATCATAATCGTTCATATTTTAGAGTAAAGGATCTCTTCTATAAAACAGTAGACAAGTTCCCAGAAAATATCATATTGTGTGAAACCGCGTTGCAAGAGACTAAGAACCAATAGCAAATAGACGGATGGTGTTCCAAAAGGTTTTAAAAGCAAAATATTTTTAAATACTTTTCACTGTTGCCTTTTTTAAATTTAGACTTTCTGCAATGTCAGATTCTTTTCTCATTTTCACACGTTATTCAAGATTTGTATGAATAAATGTTTCTTTTAAAAGTTTTCTTACTTTAAGACGTAGTTAGGAGCTTGAATATAGTTTCGCAATAATTACTTCTGAAGAAGACAAAGCTAATTAGTAACCCAAAAAGTTTTTTAAAATATTTTTCTGAAATCGCAATTACGTAACTTAAGCAATCTACCAGCTGAATACTTGAAGCACACGATGCATACTATAGAAATGATGAGCATGACTCAATTTCAAAAGAATTTTGATGCGAGAGAATTTGGGTATTCTCAGAATCATTTTATTTCAGTGTGTATAAAGAAATAGACTGTTATTGTGACGTAGGCATAGAATGTAACATAATTTTATAAATGTTTAGAATAAAAATCATGTTATCGAAGTATATATATAGATAAAGTTTTGTAAGAGGGTTTAATGTATATTCCTTAACTTGCTAGAATGAAACTGTTGCCTTGCTATACGAGAGTTTCTGCAATTTTTTTACCGTGTAAGACCGAAACCGTGTTATAAGAAGAATGCCTGTTTTATAAAAGAGAGGTATGTTTTGTCTGTATAAGAGGGGTGTAATTTAATAGAGAAATTTATGTCAAAATATAGCTATAAAAAATATCCTTCTGCTCTCTAATCTTCGTATATTCACACAAAGAATAATACACTTCATTTCAGTGACCTTATGCAAAAGTAATATACTTCGGTTCACTAAGCTTAAACCTGTATGTTCGTATAGAAAGTAATGTTCTTCAGTTTACTAATTTTATAATCGTAATACGTGTCAAGAAATTCGGGAACTGTCAACAAAACGAATCTCATTCGCATTAGAAAAATTTTAATTTAATACTTGATTTATCTTGTCGAACAAGAAGCAGGAGCTGCATTCAGTATAATGTTTTAATTAAATATATGCATAAAATCCATATTTGTTGTTTTATTCATTGAAATAAATTACAATTAATCTGTAGCTAATAGTTTTATGAAGTTAAATTCAATATAAAAAAATTCTTTTGGTATTGTATAACGTCCATATTACAAATAGTTTGAAAGTGTGAAAAATTATTTTATCAGTTCATTATCTGCTTAAATATTTCACATAATACTGAAACGATTAAATACTGTTAAGAAGATAATATTACGAACGACTGGCATAAAAACAAGCTATTCTATGTACAGTTACTAATAATCATACTAATGATTGTCATGAATAAAAAGTATTCATGACAATCATACTAATAATTGTCATGAATGAAAAGTATTTATGACGGTTTCCTATAACATTATGCAAGACACAGATTTTAATAACAAAACTGTTCACTTAAACTGATTCACGTATACTTCAAGAATTAACGCTTACACCATTGTCAAAAGCAGAGGTCTTCAAAGTGGAGTATGCAAAGTGGTGTACTCCCAAAAATGTTTTTACATTGGTTCTCTGTGTCTTGTTCCACTAGCATTTGGGTGAGTTACTTTAGAATGCGTATAATATAATGTAAAGGTAAAACCTAAATTTATTTTCGTTTTAGAATTACGCGATCCAAAACATTTCGAGATCACTGATCATCTGCAATTGAGAGTGGATTGCTAGTATGAGATTTCGTCTTTTGTTTTGTGTCTAAACTCGCTCGTCTGAAATCAGGACGCCCACGAAATTCATTGGGGTAAGGCATCACGATTGCATCTATCGTTCGCAAAAGAATAATACACTTCATTTCAGTGACCTTATGCAAAAGTAATACACTTCAGTTCCTAAGCTTAAACCTATGTGTTCCTATAGAAAGTAATGCTCTTCAGTTTACTAATTTTATAATCGTAATACGTGTCAAGAAATTCGGGAAACTGCCAACAAAACGAATCTCATTCGCATTAGAAAAATTTTAATTCAATACTTGATTTTTCTTGTCGAACAAGGAGCAGGAGCTGCATTCAGTATAATGTTTTAATTAAATGTATGCATAAAATCCATTTTTGTTGTTTTATTCATTGAATTCAAGAAACGGGTCTAAAGGTCTCCCACCCCTCTTTCCCTATCACAACCTCTCACCGCATAGTTAAAGTGTTACCATGCCCCACAGACACTATACATTTACAGATATCTGTACTTTTTCCGATTCGAACCCTGGCGCATCGATACGGGGGTCAGAGTCACTAACCACTATCACCAACCGAGGTCATTCATACCAACCGAGATACTTTATCTCGGTTGGGATGGAAAAAATGGATACTTCTTTGCTTTTGCATTCCGCCTCGGCCACATTTGAAATTTGCGCATTACAGGCTGATAGTTATGTTTTACATATTTGGCACAACTGAGCATGATGGCAGTTTTAACGATAAAGTGCCAAAAACGTTTCCTTACAAAGTTATCTGTCATTTTCAATAACTTTTCGCAAGATTGCTGTTAATGAAACACAAATTCTGTTTGATTTATGTAGAACGGTTATTTCGTTTAACTAATGCATGGCGTCCCTTGAGCCATGCATTATTTTTGTAAGCCTTAGAGCATTCTCTACTGCGAAAGGCTTTCATTTAACTGCAATTGAAATTCATTTGCATAATTTCGAATGATGTTTTTTTTGTAGTCAAATGTGATAACTAAAATTTAAATGTTTTTCTCCTCAGGACAAAGCGGCCGTTGATTGCCATCTTCCTGTCCCAGAACCTTCTGATCTGGAACGTGCCGGAACATTGCAGTTCGACGAAGTCAGGAAAGAACTTGACAAACTTTATGTTCAAACGGCAGGTTAGAATTCTTTCACTGTTTACGTGATTGCATACAACACCGATTCTTGGTATATTATTTTTAAGCTTTCACGATTATCACGAAATTAAGTACCGATGTAAATATTCTGAGCTTTGAGAGGGTTATAAGCTACTTTCTACGCACCATTCCTCCTGTTCTTCGTGTTGGCGCCACCCAGCGTGGTATTTATGGAGTCAATAGTTTCGATTATAATTAAAGAGATTTAATGCTAAATGATGGTGAACTACTTCTTTTGGCATCTTAAAGACAATGTTTTAAGGTTATCCAAACTTTGCAAAGGTGAATGGTCCATGAAATAATGAATGATTTTTGAACTACTCAGTTAACATCTTTACTTTTGCATTTTCAAAGTTAATATGCGCTAAAGAAAAAGTTCTCAATGCTGAAAGATTGTGAGTTGTTTCTTTCTTACGTATTTAAAGGTAGTCTGTAAGGAGGACTACTCAAAATTTTGCGAAATTTATTCACTGTAATGTATTGGTCAACTGCTTCACCCCGCATATCATTTTCATACCGTTCTCTTGTAAATATGAGTAGAAATGTTATGATACAAAATGCTTCGCGGCTCTGTAGTTCACCAAATCTGGAATTCTGTTGTTTAATAACGCGGTAGCCTATGACGAAAACGAGACAGATGATACTCATAGATTCACTTCACTGACAATATATTACTTGTGTAGTTTTCGATGTCTGTTTCAGCCCTTTGTTTTTGTTTTTTTATAGCTTGCGAGAGGAAAGTGACTCAAATACTTAAATCTTCTGATGAAGTACATCAGCAGCCAATTAAAGAAAGGATGGAAACCTTTTTACACAAAGGTAAGTGAAGACGTCAAAATGTTTCTTTTAATAACTTTATTTTTTTTAATTTAACAGAATATTGTAAAGAATAAATTAAATTTCCTCGATTTTTCTCTTAAAAATAAGAATCAATTGAAAACAAATCGTCAAGATACGGTTACAGTAAATCAACAGAGTTACCAGCTTTAAATTCGGCAAAGCTACACAAACTATTATTCCTTCATTTACCACGTTTTATTTTATTATCAGCTCGGGTTAGTGACAAGCAAAACTTATGTTTCTATACATTTTTAGGCATACTAATGAAAAGTACACCATATCCACAAAAGCTTCGTAACTGTTGGGCGTAGACATATACTTCTAATTACAAAACGGTTTCATATGACGTAAAGATTCGCGTTTTGTATTTTTAAATTTAGAAAAAAATTTTAGGAAATCTAATTTTTTATCCTTTCCTCTCGTATCTGTATTTGTAAGTCTATAATATAACGCGATAAGTACATGTGTCATCAGTAAAGCTTTGTGTTGTCACTCTAAGAAGCGTACGAAATTTATGTATAAAATTCAATCGGAAAACTCGGTTATATAGAAGAAGTGTGTTGTCACTTTCAAAATATTTGTCTTAATTTTGGAATTTAAACAAATTTGGCGATATAAAAGAAATATGTCACCACTGCTCAAATAAATTTATTTTAATTCGATTGATTCAACTGGAAAAAGTCATTAACACGCTGGCAAAAGCAAGGAAATTTGTTAAAAAAGAATGCCTTGACACTAATAATTGCCTTACAAAAGCGACTTTAGAAATGAATAAAACCAATTTGTTAGTTAAAGGCAGACCCAGAATAAATTAGATTTGCCAAAAAATTAGAATTAGAAAAATTGAGGAAAATTTATATATAATATGAAAGAAAACTGTTAACAAATTACGAACTTAATTTGGCAATAGCCCTTTTATTTCTGATTTTATTTTGGCTAAGTCCGCGATCTGAAATCCGCATTGCGTCACTTGCATCTGAAATGGTCTGTAATGCTGTATAACTCCTGTCCCATCCATTTCAAAACTGAAGCAAAGAATCCGAGTTTATAAATACCTTAGATACTAAATGCGCAGTTAATTTTTTCCTCCCTTCCCTCATCTAAGTAGCATCTGTTCGCCGCTTCGCAGCTTTCATTCATTATTTTAAAATGCGATACGTTTTATACAAGTTTTGGGAGGTTTTTAGCACCCATAGTGTTGTATCAATCAAGAATATATGAGCTAAGAAGTTGTTTATAAAAGCATAAAGAGATGTTCAAGCTACTTGTGCTTTTCGGAGTTCCAGCACAATCTATATTTACCTAAAGTCATAACATTTTGAATAACATAGCCCTCCACCCGAACATGGTCATTAGGAAGCACGAATTTCATATTTGTTTTACTGCTTGTTTCGTATTTTATAAATCATTAATGAATTTTTGATTAAAAAACTCAACAATTTCAAAGCGAGCAGTGGCAACACTGGATGGAATAAAACATTTTTATCTCCAGCTCGCGAGACTGTCTATCGGAAGTCCTAAAGATATTCTGTTTTTTAAATATTTTTAGTCCAAAGTGGCGTTAGCCAAAATGCTCTCGAAGCGGGTATGTGTTTGTAAATGAAAAAACCTTCCGTTGGGGCATAATATCAAATATTAATTTTTTTTAATAATTTTATAAGATTATTACTTCCCATCTACGAGACTAAAGCTCACGGGCGGGTTCAAACATACAATCTGAAAATTTTTGCGTCATATGAATTTATTAATTATTTCACAACAGCATAAGGCTTTAACTCACAGTTGCAAGCATATCACATAACACGTTGAAGATCCAAATTAAGCTCTTATCAGGGCTTTGCAAGGAATACGGCTTCGAAAACTCCTAGTGTTTCGGAGCCCCACTTGAAATGTTGCAGCAAAGCATGAAGTGCTAATCTCAAGCCCCAATTTCAAAAGAGTTGCAATTTAATTATCTGTTAGTTTTGTAATATTTCATAGCTAGTGTCAGTTACTCTTTAATGTAGTTGTTATCTGTTAATGTAACTGGCATTATATCCCTAAAATAATTTTAAGTTCTAAAACATTTAATCTTTTTCAGCGCTCGTGGAGACACGACTGCAAATAGAAAACTTAGATAAATGTAAAATACAGTAAGTATTCATTGTTCCTCTATATCTAAGTATATTAATATGGTGTTAACATAAGTAATATAATTCCTGTCATTTTGCATAAGAATAAGTAAATTTAATTTTTGAAATGCTAAACGATTTGTATCACTTCATATCTCGGTATAAAATTTATATATTTATATGGCGCCATAGTGTTTCCAATATGTCTGTGCTTATACTGATCCATAGTTTTTATACCATAGTGTTTGAGCTAAACCCATGGTGTTGCCAATTCAATGAAATTCCTGTACCAATGACAGTAAAACTTCCCAAAACGTTATATCTTCACGTTAATGTACTATAGTAGGTAGCAGATTTTTCGGATGCAGTTCTATGTTGGCCTTTTACCACATAGTAAAGGTCGTAAAACCTTTCCGAAGAACAACGTTTTAGAACAATTTTTCTGCTTTGTCTTACGATAAGAAACTGACAATCATCGCGAATCGTTTGGTGATTGCTATGCAAAAGGGAAAACTAATTCTCTAATGCTGTTGTCTTGTCCATATTACATGGAACAATGATTGCCAGCGCCTACTCCAAAGAGAGGTTGGATTTCTATTTTCCACCCCAATTTTAAGGAAGAGGATACCCTGAGGAGGGAATCCGGGGGTCTCCTACCCCTCTCCCCTTCCACCAATCCACACGAGAGGACTTTCGGCTCGCCGCATATTTAGAGTGCCGCACCAACACTATACGTTTACAAACATCCATGTCTTCTCCGGGGTTCGAACCTGGGTCTTTTGGTACCGTAGTAGGTAATTCTTTAATACAAATGATGGCTGATGGCGAAAGATTCGATGCTGATAGCTGACTGGTTGTTGAAATTGAATACCTTAGTTTTTGAGGTAAGGATTGAAAAAGTTGTAAAACTATCTGAAAGAGTTGTTCGTCTGAAATAAATGTATGTGTGATACCAATGTTACGCATGAGCGGATTCAAATATATTCAATTTTGATTTATTTGCAAATATTACGTTATGCCAATACATAATTTTATTTTCTTCACGTGGTTATTTAAAAAGGCTGGTGTAATTTGTTTTACTTTTTCTTGCCTCAGGACAGCACTGAATTTTGAATTTTGCTCTATTTTTAACAGGATACAGCTTTAATTCCTTAGTGTTATCTTGTAATGTAGTTCGATTTTTTAACTTTAAGTTTTGATTACATTTATGTATTGCAATCAGGTTTTGAAATATGTAAACTACAATATATATGTATAAAAAAATGGTATCACTTCTTTCACATTTAGTAAATTCTTTTTGCAAATAAATTTTAAAAAGCTCAAATGCCCAAGAACAAATAACCATTGTCTAATAATAAGTCTATCCTAATTATATTATATCAATGCAGACTTATTTTCAACAAACTTATTGATTTCAGATAATGCGTTCTGAAACTGCGAAAATTTATTTTTCAGGTTCAAGAAGACGCAAACTTTTTTCAAATTTCAACCTAAGTCAAATAACGAAAGTGAATGGCCAAAAGAATTTTTTGGTTTGTGGATCTCTTTCTGTTCTGATTTCAAAGACATATGGAAAAAAGAACAGCATAAGAGGCACCAAGAACAGTAAGCTTTTTTCCTCAGAAATTTAATGATTTTTTCGCACTAGTAAGTTCCAAAATATTGACTGTTTGTTAATCATGAGCATCCGCAATCAAACATCTTTTGTTTGGCACCCCACAATCCCGCCTATGGTCAGTTGTTTTCGATTTCAAGTTTTTTATTTCATTTACATGATTTTAAATCTTTCTAAGATTTCTTCGCGCATTCAATATAATTTGAGTAAAGAGATTACATATTCTTTTAAATAAAATCATTCATTTAGAATATGTTGTTACATATGGCTTTATTGAAAAGATCAATCCAAACATATTGAACGGGTAAAGCACCACACAAGATTAACGATATATAATAAAAAAATGAACAGACATTTAAAGAATCAGAATAAATGAACATGGGAATAAAAGTAAAAAGTTAAAAAAAATTAAACAACAAGGAAAGGATCATTAGAGATGTAGTCTTTACAGGGAGTTTATGAAAGCTCTAGCATTCCAATATAGTTTACTCATATCACAACTTTTCTGAGACACTTTATCTAGTTCTGGGCATATAAGAAGATCTGCATTCATGATGTCCTAATTTCAAATTTAGCGTATACTAAAGCTAGAAGGATACCAGTTTTATTAAGATGATTATGTGCCATGCAATCGTGGCCTGTTTGCAGTCTGAAGTTTCCCACAGCCTCTTTACGGCGTTTCTGACAAAACATTTTCCATGTGTCTTGAATGTTAGCCCAGGATTGGCCTGTTGATTTTGCTGCCTGGTCAGATTTAAGAGTATGCATTCATTTCTCAAAAATATGCTTTTTAAGTGACTCTGGAGGAAGTGGTTTGCTGTCTTGTGGCTCAAGTGTTCCTCTCTTGGCTAGTGAGTCTGCCTTTTCGTTACCGTCGATACCTACGTGTGAAGGGATCCATTGAAAAACGATTGTTTTGTTGTGTTTATACAGAACTTTCAAGGTTTGCTTATTTCTGATATAATCTGGGTATCTGTGTCATGATTTATAACTACAGCCTAGATGGTTGCTTTGGAATCAACTAAAATAACTGCTTTAGAGAATTAATGGATCTTTATCTTGAGGTTTTCCAGAGCCAGTGAGATTACAAGGATCTCTTCAGCAAAATTCGACATAAAGTGTCCCACAGGAGCACATTGGAAAAAAAGGTTAACTGTATACACCAGCCCCAGTGTTGTCTTGTATTTTACAGCCATCAGTGTATACTCTAATCCAGCGGTCGCCAAAGTTGTGACGTCTCTGAGCTACTGTACCAGTTTTAAATTCTACTGTGAGCTAACAATCAAAAGAACTACCAATTGTTTACATAGATCTCCCATGTGTTTATTGCCTGTAAACTTACATTTCCAGTAAATATTGTTGCGTTTTACTTTCTTCTGACACCAGTTGTTACGCTATTTTCTTCCTTCACGTTCGTAAGGGGTTCGTAGATTTGGAGTGAATAACGACGACACTTGATGAAGTATAGAAGCACACTTTATTTAGCCAATATTAATCAGGACAGCTCTAATAACACTTTTTACAGTTGTCGAAGATTTACTCTAAACACGCTGGAACAATCAGTGACACAGCCTTCCCACTGTCGGGCAATAACGGTGGAGACAGCTTCACTGCAGACAGCTTCCCGGCTCTGCTCGGTCGTTCTCGGAACTTCACGTACTCTCGAGACTCTCCATGCTACAACTCGCGATGCACTCGACGACACACGAGCACAGCTCCCGACTCTTCGATTCAGTCATTCCCGGAGCTCAACACGCTCTCTCAACACGATTGCGAGCTACTGGCGATCACTACTCTAGTCCATTCAGGTTCAGGGTATTGTTCATATAACATACGTAATGTGTTTGATTTTAATATTGCATCAGCACTGTTTTTCTTTCCCAAGTCATTAATATCTAGCTGGTATTTGATATCAGTATATTCAAAGGAATTAACCATGACCTGGTTACAATTCATTGGTTTGTTTTCATCTATTTCCTGTAATAATTTCTCACCTCTATGGGAGACATTTGAGTCTTCATACTACTTGGTTTGAAGTCGTTCATTCATTGCGCTCTATGCGATGCTTTAATTTTAACTAATGTACCAGCCGCTTGTTTCTTGATTTCAGTAGAAGTTGGTGGGTTGGATTTGTAGCTTTGTATAGCTGTAATCCGAGTAGTTTTTCTCGCTTCTGTGATAATCCGAAGAGCAGTCATTTAGAATATACTTGGGACTATTTGGTAAGTATCAGATCCTTTAATGAAACAGCTGCTTTTAAGTAATACATTTAAAAAGGGCAGCATTCTCCGCAATAATATAATCCTTTAAGCAGAAAACATGTTTTCTCTAAATTTTTCAGCTTTGATATTAATTTCCGGGAAATGATTCTGATATCAGCTATGCGAAAATAATTAACGTTAGTTATCTTTGAACCAATATGATGTTGCAACAATTTTAAAATATCTGATGATCACTTGTTTGTACGCCCTATTAAATTGCTGCATTTCCATTAAAACTTGTGTATTATGTAAAACCAGTTTATTAGAGATATATTTCGCATTCAATTAACCAGTTTTCACCTCGCGGCAAGGCAAAAGTACATAAAAATTGCAAAATACAGAAAAATATAAAACATCAAATACAGTTAAAAATAGCTTTTTTTTTTTTTTTTTTTTTTTTTTTAAACAATTAAAATTAGAGTTTCTACGCATTCGGTTCGGCCAGTGGCCGGGAAGAAAGATTTTTCGATGCACAAAATTGGAAGTTTACTTTGGGACCCCCTGAGAAAAAAGATAGTGAAGTTGGTGCACCAACTGATTTAATTAACTATTCTACTAAAAGTTTCAGATGTAACGCATGACGGCTTCGTTAGCGCCAACGTTTTTGCGTTATGCGAGATACGCACTTGGATTCGAGAGAGGCTAAAGTTACTTTTACGGGCTCTATTCGTGTAAGCTTTATCCGTGTGGGTATTTTTGTGGGCTCTTGTCGTGATAAAGATTAAACAGTTATTCTTTCCAAGAAATGTAACTCAAGGATTTAGAATTAATTTAGGCAGCAACTACAAAAAATAAATTACCCTTTTGGGCAATAATTGTCTTCGGCAAAGAGAATTATCAAGCAAACAAGCAAGATAATTTTTTGAACAAATTTTATCGCTAAATTTTCTCATCCCTTGTAACTCTGTTCACAAAATCTATCTTAAGATGCAGATAATATTAAGGGTTTCGAAGCTCTAGTCGATATCCGAGCTACTCATCTTTCAATATCATCCGGATCTGCTATAACTTACACCAAGAAAGTAATACCATGAGAAAATGTAATAACTTCTTGCAAAGAAAATTTAGGATTGAAATAAACGTTTAACTTCAATATTTATGTTGACGAGCCCCTTAAACTTTTATTCAAATACCTTCCATAACTAAAACCCTCCATAGATTGAAATGAAATCTTAGGAGAATCTAGTGACAAATTTTTAAATATTCTGTAAGCTCACAAAGATATTTTTAAGACATAAAATGTTAACAGTAAAATCCGGTAAAATTTCCTAAATGTTTCCTAATGTTTTTTTCTTTCTAAATGCTTTTGTTTGTTTTCTAGAACGGAAAAGGTCAGGAAAAGCTTTCTGAAAAGGGAAGCAGAAAAGAATGCCATTGTCCGGGTCAAAGCCAAGCCTACAGGACTGGTAAGCATAAAAGGCTATTCTATAAATCTTCAATATTTGCTTTTTATCAATATATCCTTTACGACAAAATTAACTTTCAAGCAATAGAAACAATTGAATATAACAAAATAAATCGAATTCTGTTATAATCGGTAATGTCAAGAATAGAACAAACTTGATTATTATCAAATAAAGCTATATATTACTTTTTTTTGCATTTATTGCTTAAATAGCTCAACAATCAATAGTTTTCCTCCTAATATATTTCTAAAAATGGGGTGGACGGTGCTAGAATCCCATCTTTTAAGTAGCAGTTCTTTCCCTTAATACTAAAAACCTTCAAAATATGAAACTTAATATCCATGGAAATGGCAACAAAATTTAAAACCTAATTTTTTAAACCTTAATTTATGTAATTTTGCATGCTGAAAAATGCATAATTATAATTTTAAACTCAAATGAGTTGGTATTTCTTAAACAAATTTTGAGGTAAAATAATTCAAGATAGCTGCTGTTCAATAACGAGGAAAGCAATCAATTTCATTATTGCAAATCACATACATACGTAGATATATATATACACATATATATGTGTGTATATATATATATATAGAGAGAGAGAGAGAGTATAGGAAGTCTTCTCAGCCATAGGGCAGTTTTTTCTCTGGGATAATTATTTCGGTTTCACGGGGAAATGTGGTCAGTCGTTTATTTAGCCTATAAGCTCTTAGTTTATGAATATAAGACTTCTTTTATTCAAGTTTTGCTATTTACTAATATTTTCTACACTTTTTTAATTCATGAAAAACATTAAAAATAATCTAAATAATTGTAAATATGCATTTTTGAGTTGAACCATATTTATAGTTGGTATTTCATATTAAGTTATGTATAAATTTAAATATTTTGTTATTCATAATTTATATAGGACCCTTGAAAATTTTCGAACTTTAAAACCACCTCCAACACTATGTTTCCGTTGTACAGGGGTTAATGAGTTTAAAAGAGTGAGTACACACGTTTACTATGCGGGACGAGGGAGGGTACAGAGTGTTGGATTTCTAAAATACCATAACATGAATATTTTCCTTACTCAAAACACTTCTGTGACTGAAAGTGTATGTTGCCTATTCAGTATGGTCAATGATTGCGAGTACCTTTATAAGCAATCATCATTGACATTGCACTTGAATTTGTAAGTTTGCTTCGTATTTTACATATGTATAATTTATTATTATCACAAATTATTTTGAATATTTTTTACATGCTTATATTTTGTGTTCAGTACATATTTTATTTTCATGTACGTCTTATAACAGTGGTCTTAAACTCATACTGCATGCAGGTCGAAGACACAATCTGAAAACATCTGACAGGGATGAATTTTTAGTCCAAAGGGCGTTAGCCCAAAAGGACTATTAATTTCGTTTTGGCATTTTGCGTCGAATCACTATAAACGGCGAATCACTTTTCAAACTGTTGCCACCAAATGTTAGAGTCCTGCATTATATTTTAATAAATTATAAAATGGAAAATCTGCATAAATATATGTGTATTTCTCGCATTGTGAAAAAACAACGGTACCTAGAGCCACCAAATTTTGAATAACGTAATCCTCCACCCAAACATGGGCATCTAGAAGCCCCAATTTGCAATTTGTTTCATTAGTTATTTCATATTTGTAAAACTTTAACGAATTATTGATTAATAAATTCAATCATTTCAAAGCGAGCAATGGCAACACTGTGCGGGGGGGCGGGATTATCGATTATCTCCAGGGCATGAGGCTGTGTATCAGAAATTCTAAAGATATACTTTTTAAATATTTTGTGATATCGCTGTCGAATTGAATTTTGTGGTTTAAATGCGAAGACTCTGATATTTAATAAATAAAGGTAACACACAAAACGTTAGAAAAATGCGCCTTTGAGTAATATATAAACTCTAAAAACTTTCAGATATTTTTTCTCCCTTAAATAAAAACATTTTAACTAAATTTTGTGTGATAAATATTTATCATAAATAAACAATAACAATACTGACAACACAAAAGACAAAAAAAAATTGAAATTTATGTTCTACTTTGAAATATAAAATTTGGTACCTGAAAGACATTTTGTTGATTACACTGCAGTTAAGTTTTAAGATTGACATTTATTTCAAATAATTTTAATATGTTTAAATAACAATTAAATAATTCACTTTAATTTAAACTAAAGATGAACAAATTATGAAAACGTTCTAAGGTTTGAGAGAGAACTTTCCAAGTGGGAAAAATTTGAGAATATATTGTAACAATTTAATGTCTGTCTCCTATTTATAAAATTTTTCTTCGACGCGTAAATAAAAATACATATTTTTATGTGAAAATAATAGTAATAAACTTCTTTGTTTCTCCACTGCAACTTGGCACTTGATGGCGTTTCGATTCTTGGAGAAAAATTACGGATTGTAGACGCTCATAGTCAATCCGGTTTTATTCATTTTCAAATGTGGAGAAAAGTTTATTCAAATATAAAAGCGATTAATCTTAGTGAAAACATTCGTAATTGAGCGTATTTATTTTTTTGACAAGTACCAATAAAATAGACAAATCTGTATTTTCAAATCTTTGAATAATACTTATATCACATTGTAAATTAGCTCCGTTTATAAATTTTCTGTTACGTTCAGCTCGTTTTTTATGGTAATGAAAGTAATGTAAACTCGGACTTGAAATAACTAAAATCTTAAAATCATTGCAAAACTATACTTTCAACAAATACATAATTGAAATCTATTTGTTGTTACATAAAATTGCTTCGAAGACCACCACTTACGGCCTGCAGGCCGTCAATTTGAGACCACTGTCTTATAATATCTGATGAATTTTAAATAAATCATCTACATTTTTTTGGTTTATTTTCATATTTTTAGTAAATTTTTGAGAAGTAAAATATTGGTAAGCTAGGTTTAATTGGCAACTTTACCAAATTATCATGAATTGAAATGTTTGTAAATTACAAGCAATATCATTGGAAAAACTTCCATGAACTGCTTTAAGAGTGTAATTAATTCAAAGTTCAACAAAAGTTCAATTTCATTAAACTTTTGTTGTATCATTAATTTATGATATTCTAATGCTCAGAACCCTAAAATTCTTCTTGTATTTATTTTATTAGCCCGAATGGTGTCTTAGTCTCCAAAATAGATTTTGCTTTGTTTCAAATTTCATTAGTCTGTTTCCATCCAGAAAAACATTAACATTTTATTTTTTTTGTATTTAATCTGTCCGCTATTAATAATTAAACTAAATTAATTAAAAACAAAATTTCAATTCTTGAGAATATTTTTTTTTACCTTTTAATGGGATTCAGTTAAATAAAAATATGTTTAATTCATGATGTATATACTTAAAATCATTCGATATTTTTATAGAATTACATTATATTTTTCACTTTTTAAATATTCAGAAAATACACCAGTTAAATGCATATTCATGTAATATCCTGTAAAATGTTTCGCTATTTCCCTGAGCCATCTTTAACGATAACCTCCACTGATAAATCATATTAAACTTTCTTCTTTTATGCTAGAGTTCTTTTAGATATCCTTAAAATCTGAGCCCTTTTAGACATTTTTTTTTTTTTTTTTTTTTTTAATTTTACTTTTTTAGACCAAAAGTCTGTTAGTCTCGAAACACGATTCTGGGTTGTTTCACTTTTCATTCGAGTCTGTTACCGTGATTGCATAATAAAATGAACACGCGCCTCTGCTTGAGTGGCAAAAGTATTAAGATTATTACTTTTTTATTTTTTAATCCGATTGATTTTTAAAAAAATGTATTTAATTCACGATATATTTCATTAAAAACATTCATTATTTTATAGAATTAATTACATATTTTTTTGCTTTTCAAATATACGGAAGATATATAACATTCCCATGATGGCCTAAATGTAATTCGTCTAGTATCGTATAAATATTTCCTTATTCCACCGGGGCCATTTCTACTGATAATCTTTATTGATAAACCGAATTAAATTTTAAAATAGACCTTTTGTGCAATCTGAAAACTTTCAGATTATTTGTTTTGTGTGTGTGTGTGTCTGTCTTTATTTGTTTGATGCTCATTTAAAAAGTTTTTCTTTTCTAATATTTCAGAAAGCAAGACTGAACAAATTACGTCAACAGACTTCGAAGGAAATTGCTACTTGATAAAAAAGAATGCCATTGAATTTTTGCTGCCTTATGAACTGTCTTTCTCAAAGGTGCTATTCCTCTGTAGGCAATCCTTAGACTTTTTGCCCCCCTCCGATTTTAACTCCCACAGCCCTCCTCCAGGCTTTGGGAGCAAGTGTGGCTTAGTAAACCACGAAAAGGACATCCTCGGCAATTACTAAGCCATTCTCGCTCTGCAATGTATTTATTTTTTTAATACTAAACTTTGTCATTTAGACTGAAATGTTTTAATATCTATGTTTGCTTCTTATAATCATATAGTCAGTGGTTCTATGGAGATCGAAGATAAGTTGGTACTAAATAGAACTGCCTTTAATAGGTCCATAAATCAGAAATAACGCATTTAAAATTTGAATTTAAAAATTTACGAGAGAGATCTGTTTTAGATCATTACCCCGTGCATCTAATTTTTCTTAATAAAGTAAATTATTCATTTTCCACAGGTTCAGAAAATATTTTTGTCCAAGCATTTAATTTTAATTAGTTTACACTATAGATAAAAATCCCATTTTAACATGAATAGCTTTAATTAAACGCCCGTTTAAAATTTTTCATAGGGTTATTATTTTTCAAATTGAACAAAATGTTTGTTTCTTAAGTTAGTCATTTCGTAAATGCTTTTAATTTAGATTTGTCTCATCATTGTTATACTATACAGGAAATTCAGCTAAGCATGTACGCTGTGCAAACTTAGCTGAACCCCTTTTGTAGAACAACAGTAAGACAAATCCTAAATTAAAAAAATTTAGGGAGGGGTAAGTTGCATTAAGACTGCAAGAAATTCAGCATCAATGCAGGGTCAGAAATGCCACTTCGCAATAGTTTTCCAAAGAAGACGAGAACTAAAAAACCAGAACTAACAGAACAAAATAATTTTCGATTACTGAAGACGTATGCGAAATGCATTTGAAAATGGGCTTCAAAATGGCGACCATGAACTTCACCGCATGTTCAACGTCATGTCACTTGGTGTCCTATATCTTGAAAACAATTTTCCAATGGAAGCCCAAGACAGATGGATGGCATGTCTTGCGTAAACTGATGCCATGTCTTGGACTTCCACATCGACATGCGTGCTACAAGGTCTTCACAATTCTGAAAGGGGAATGTTTTACTCTTTGATATAACCCTCAGAAGAAGTAATCAAAGCGTCCTTAATACGTCGATCTTACAGGTGGGCAGCTTACGAATGATGTTATCTCAAAAGATTGTATAAACGCTCTTTGCCGTCGAACAGCGCCATCTACGACTTGAACATGACATTTCTAACCCTGCAATGCTGTATTATTCTCATTTGTCTTTGCGCAATTCTGCCCTCCGCGCAACTGAAGAGCACTGTATACTATAACAAATGATAGCAGGAGCTCTCCTATCATATCTATAGTATGTATATATATGCAGTAATATATATGAGTAATTTCTTAAATTATGAACAGTTTTGCTGTTTTCAGTAATTTCACTGATATTAAATTTGAACTGGAGAATAATCTAAAATGGAAGATTTGCAAAAACTTAATCTGAATTAAATTTATGTTTTAAAAATAAGTATTCCATTCAACTCTTAAATTTTAAGAAAATGCGTTGAGTTGCCAATCTGAAACCTATATTCTAAAAAATGTTTTTTAAAAAATTTCTTTGTCAAAAATCACGGAAAAAGAATATTTACTTCACATTTAAGTGTCTTTAAATGATTGTGTTTTTATTATAAATTTATATTGCCATCAATAATTTCATCCTACTGTGATGAAAAATGAATAAATAACTAAAAGTTAAAAAAATAATAATAATAAAACGAAAAGATATTGTATTTTTTGAATTTTATTTGTAATTTTGTACTTAAAAAAATATTGAGATTTGTACGTATTCATATAGTATGCGATCTGCTGCAATAGTTATTTCATAATGGCTTCACTGAAACGCTGTATTTAAATATGGAAATAAATACGAACGTACAAATGAAAATGATTCCATTAATTGATCTTATAACCCATTTAAATCTATAATTCCAATAAAGTTACATATAAGGGATGAGTTGGTGACTTTTGCTAGTTTTTTTCAATAGCTAGCCAGATCATCTATATAATAATATAATAACTCGGCAAAGATTATTAACATATTAAAAGAAAAAAAAATAAATAAAAATGAGACTAAAATACAGTTTACAATTAAGAAATATGATACATTAAATTATGCATAACATACGAAACATTACTGTCGTTCTTCCCCTGTAGACAGCGATCTATTTTCAATTAAGAAAATATGAAAGAATTTCAAAGATTTAGCATTCGCACTTCAAACATTTTACGTATATAGTGTTATATGCATTATTAATTCTCTGCCCGTCCAACACACTGATCAGTTTACACTTAAAAAATTTCGAAAAATTGCAAATAGTCTGTGGTGCACGTATTAAATATTACATTTATTATATTTTATGAATGGTTTTTCTCCCCTTCTATCCAGCGACCTACTTTTGCATCATAGCAAATGCCCAAATCCGGCATCATACAGAGTCTCGGCATTCAGCACAATAAACATTATGTAGATTGTATGATATATTACTGTTATTCTAATAAACGACAATCCCATTAATTCCGCTTATTAAGAAACAAGGTTGCCGAAACAAAATCATTAAGAAATAACGAAAATGGGAGATTATGAGGATAAAACCATTATCTGCACGGGAAATCCTGTGCTTTATTCTAGACAGGTTTAAATTTTAATAGTTTCGCAATTTAGCAACAATAGCTTCATAAAATAAAAAAATCAGTACCTTTCAAGTTTGGTCGTGAGATAAAATGACTGCAAAAAAAATATAATAATATATATATATATATATATATATATATATATATATATATATAAGCCGTAGATCGCATACTACATGACAGCCGATTTGTATAGTGAATACTTATATTATGTAATTATTTATCAACGAAAATTATTTGTCAGTAAAAAATTACGATTTTATGTGATCATTCAGCAACAAAAATTATTCGTCAGCAAAAAATGACTGTTTTATGTGATTATTTATCAACAAAATTATTTTTCAGCAAAAAATTGTTATTTTATATGATTATTTATCAGCAAGAAATCCTTTAAGATTTGTATATGGTCAAATTGTGACTGTTGCTTCACTGAATTCTGTATTACTTACCTCTTTCTACTGCACGTTTTTACTTTTCAGTAGTTTTGTATATTATGATTTTTTAAATGTATTGTAAAAGAAGTACACGATACTGATTAATTTTCCACTCAAATTTTATTTGCGTTCTTTTTAAAGAAAAAAAATTGTAAAATACAAATTCCTAACGCAAACTAAGGAAACGAACAAATTTTTCAGCAAGTTTCAAGAAGAAACTGTGCATGGTAAAGTTCTGCAATTTAATTTCTTTCTGAAATATTTGCGTGCATTTTTATGCTTTTATTTCATCGTTGGACTTTTTAAAGTATTAAAATATAATAATTATCGAGCTTTTGAAAAAAGGTAAAGTCGATTTTAACAGAATGGGACAGGACAGGAGTTCTCGTCCGAATTCATCTTCCAAAAGAAATAGTTTTTCATCATGTAGTCTTCTTAATGATAATAAAGTGTTCTTTAAAACTTTTGTCGCATTTATTTTCGAAACACTTCGTTTCTAAATTTTTGATAAATCTGTAGGGAGAAAATACAAACATTACTTAATTGAAAACAAATATAAATTCAAATATAAACTGAAACTCTCATGCTCCGGCCGCTCAGAAGCGAAAGTGGTTACCGGAGCCTATATCTAAGGGCCGGGGTTCGAATCCCGGAGAAGGCATGCATTTAACGGTTCCCAGACAAAAGCCCACTGGACGAAAGCGCACATGACAAAAGCCCACAAAATAAAGCCCACTATGATAATTGCCCGCGCGATAAATGCCCACAGCGATGAAAGCGCCCTTTGATAAATGCCCACACTGATAAAAGCACACATTGATAAGAGCCCACATAGATATAAGCCCACGCTGATAAAAGCATACACTGATAAATGCGCACATAATCAAAAGGGACTTATGGTTTTTATTACTATAAAATGTAGTTATAATTTTAATTATAATAAATGGAATATTCAGATCTGAATTTTAATGTCTCAAGTATTTGTATATTTTATCACTACTTTATTTGCTTAATTTATTAGGTTGAAAGCAAACTTTCTGCTCTCTGATTGGAAGTATTGAAGATTGAAAGTATTGAAAGCTCTCTGGTGAAAGTATTCGCTTTCACCTCCCTTTGTCGGACTTATACGAGGGTACTTCCATTTGCCGCGTAAATATAATAACAAACTTGCACATTCATGTATATGTTTATAATTACATTATTTTGATTGACTCCCTTAATTCACCCGGAGCCCAAAATGAAATGTGTTCCTCTACACTTAAATTTATTGATCAATTAGTTGCTATTAATTTATTTTTTTTATTCATGTATCTACTAAAAAAAAGGGAAGAGCTGAAGAAAAAAGGGAAAAAATGAATATTATTTTTAACGTAGCTTATATACCGGTGTGGGTTTTTGTCAGTATGGGATTTTATCAACGTGGGCTTTATGTCTATGTGGGCTTTTATTTGTGTGCGCTTTTATCAATGTGCGCATTCATCGGTGTGGGTATTAGTCGCGTGGGCAATTGTCTCAGTGGGGTCTTTTTTGTGGGCTTTTGTCGCGTGCGCTTTCGTCCAGTGGCTTTTCTCTAGTCACTGCATTTAACTTGTCTGTCCCTTTATAAGAGGCAACTGAGGTTCACCTGTTAAGGTATGTCCGTAATAAGGCGACTACTGCTTCCAGTCATTGCAGTGGCCAACGCCTGCAATGGTTAGTGGGCGCCATTGGGAAAATAAAATGGTCTCATGCTCCGTTCATGTAAATAGTTCAATGTAATCATGACCCATTGGACAAGGCATACATGTCTGAGCTTCTCGTTATAGTATTAGTTTCTTTTTTCATAACCCTTGTTAATCACGTTCAACATGTCCGAGAAGGAGGTTGAAAAGAATGTTGTGCAGGAAAAAAATCTTATTTGACTTTCGAAAACCTCAGATTTATTCCACATTTAAAAATCAGTTTGGAGATGAGTCTCACTCTAGAGCTTATGATAGATGCAAGTCTTTGAAAGAAGGCCATGTGGAAGTTAAAAATGAATAACTTAACTCGTGAACCTCAACCAATAAACACAAGACAGGCCTTATGTGCAACTCTATAACTAACTCCTAAAATACGGTAGACGGGTTTCTAGGAAATACCGTGTTATGCGAAATCATGCTACGAGACAAACAACCAATACGAATAGAGGAATGCCTTCCAAAACTTTTAAAAATAATATTTTTCTTTGAGTTGGAGCATAAGGCGCCAAATGGAAGCCAAGCTTCAAGAAGAAGAAGAATATTTTTCAATGGTTTTCTTTGTTGCGTTACTTAATTTTAAACTTTTTGCGACGTTTTTCTCCTTTTAAGAAAGTATTTAAAATTTGTATAATTTTATTTCCAATTGTTTTCTTACTTTCACACGTAGTTTGGGATTAAAATACAATTTCGTAATAATTACTCCTAGGAACGAGAATGCAAATTAGTTACAAAGACCAAAACGTTTTTTAAGAAGTTTCTTATAAGTTACAATTAGGTAATTTATGCAATCTACCAACTGAATACTTGGAGCAAAAAATACATACTGTGTAAATAATGGACATAGTTTCATGGAATTTCGACTTGAGGGTATGCGTGTATTGTCGGTATTTCTTTTATTTTCGTGTGTAAAAATAAATGGGTTCTTACGATGTACTGCATATAATGATACAGTATTTAACTTAATTCTGTAAATGTTTAGAATAAAACTCGTGTTATCGTAATATGTACACCATACACGAAAATGAAATGGGACAGCTCTGTATCTCTTGTTTTGCTGGGCCAATCGACAAAACCTAAGTTGAGTTTTTCAACTCGAATATGCGACTTAGGTTATATGTTAGATTTATTTGCAGTATTGTTCTAACATAGGTAAACTGCTGGCCATTAAAATTAACTGCCCCCATGAACGAAAGCAAATGCAAAAAAGATTTTTTATTGTACGTAATCAATATGGTACGAAGACAAAATGATTAAATTTGTAAGCAGTTTGGGAGTTTACAGAGGTGCGAAATTAGTAGAAACAGCTGTCACCACAGCCTTTACCCGGTTAGGCATGGAGTCGAACTGGGCTTGGATGAGAAATGGGCAGCTCATTCTATGCTCCTTCAAATGCCACACTTCATCAACCGTATTAGCTGGAGATGGTTGGCGAACCAGTGTCTCAGCAACTCATGACTAGATGTTTTCACTCGGTGATAGATCTGGATACTGTGCAGGCCAGGGCAGCAATCGAATATCCTGTGTATCGAGGAAGGTCAGAACACGACGTGACACATATGGACTGGCATTACCTTGTTGGAAGACAGCGTTTGGCAGGCCTCGAAGGTAGACCACAACTACTGAACGTAATATGTCAGAAATGTACCTATCTGTGTTCAAATTACCGTCGATCTAATCTACAGATGTGTGTGTTGTGTACCCAATAGTGCCAAAACCATCAAGCCAAGTGCAGGCCCCCTATGCTGACATCGAATGTAAGTAGGCGACGTGGGATCTCCTCGGAGTCTCCAGACACGTATACGGTCATCAGAATACTGCACACAGAACCGGGACTCGTCTGAAAAGACGACATTGTGCTGCTCTTGTATCCAGCTTTGTCGTTCGACCCAGCAGAGTTGCCGTCTCTCTATGCTGCATTGTCAAGGGAAGTCGAAGTAATCGTCGCTGTGCTGATGGTCCACTACTGCTACAAACATCCACATTCTATACGAGCGGATACTGGGCGTGTTCCAAACATCCCCATTTTCTGACTAATGGTCCGTGATATGGTTATATGGTACTTCAGGGCTGACCTCACAGTATGTCTGTCCTCTCGGGCGTTAGGCATATGGGAGGGCGTTGAGATCATGCAACCCAACCTCTTCTTCCTTTCTTGTGATTTTGAAGTTTGTCAGATCATCCCTTTCTGGTGCTGCTATTTTAATGGCTAGTAGTGTATTTTGACACAAAATGTGACTATTCTGAAATGACACACCAATTTTTTTTTTCACATTCCGATTCTATGACTCAAATTATGCCTGAATTTTGTAAAATTTGATGTGAAATTTACCGAGAAATTTAAAAAATTATCTTTGCGCACATTTTTCAGTCTGCGCCAAGAATAATTCTCTTGACGTAATTCTAAATTAATGGTTCTATTTTTCTTTCCCTTTCATTGTGCACGAACAGGAAAAAAGCGCGCATCGTTCATTCTTTCAGATATTTTTAACAAAGTGCTTAAAGTACCCTGCGGAAAAAAAAGGGCCAGTTCTATAGCTCCCGTTATACTGGGCCAATTGACAAAATTCAATCTGCATTTTTCATGGCTCGAAAGCGCGGCTTAGGATACATATTGGATTAATATATAGCATTGTTCTAACATAAGTATTTTGACACTAAATCGGACTTTTTCTGAAATAACATGCCAATTGTTTTCCATTTTCGATTCCACGACTCAAATTATGCCTAGCCATTGAATTTCGTAATTTTTGGTGAGAAATTTATGGAGAAATTTAAAAATTTATCTTGGTGCATTTTTTCAGTTTGTGCCAAGAATAATTCACTTTGCGAACTTCTTAATTTATAACAACCTATTGTCCTTTCCTTTTTTTTATTGTACAGGAGTGGAAAAAAGTCATCGTTCACACTTTCAAATAATTTTAACAAAGTGCTTAAACCACATTTGGTGTTATCGGTGATAACAAATATTCCAAATTTTAAAATGCGCCAATATGTAAATTCATGTATATCTTAGGAAATTCTGAATAAAAACCTCTAATTTTTCGTAAGTATGCTTAGAAATGCATCCACTTTAAAATGATGTTAGAAAGTTTATAGGTTGTAATTCCAGTTTTTTTTTTTTTTTTTTTTTTTTTTTTTTTTTTTTTTTTTTTTTTTTTTTTGTTTTTTTTTTTCATTTTTTTTTTTTTTTTTCGAAAATTTTATAAAAATTATTTTTAAAAATACAAATTTTAAAAGTAAATCTAAAAAAATGGGCGAATTTTATTTGGAATGAACCTAAATTTTGAAATGTGAAAGGAAGAATAAAATAATTTTTTAAAAAAAGAGATTAATTATTATATACCAAATTCAATTAACACTGGAGGAGCCAAAAGTTTAAGAGCTGATATTTTAAAAACTAATAGTGCGATTTTTACAGAACTTGGCAGTTTGACGTAATATAGGTCCTAAATCGAAATATGGAAAAAACGTTGGCATACAGTTTCAGAAAAAGTTCGATTTTGTGTCAAAATACCTATATTAGAACAATGCTATATATAAATCTAATACATATCCTAAGTCGCACTTTCGAGACCTGAAAAGCGCAAGTTGAATTTCGTAAATCAGCCCAGTATAGAACGGGAGGTGTCGAACTGTCCCTTTTAAATCCAA